ATACCAATTTCTACAACATGGATTTCCCTGTTGTTTGAAAAAAGCATGTATTGCGGCATTTTGTGGTCATTACAATGGGGTAGAAATCACCTACGCATATTTCAGGTATGTAATCTCTCCAAATTTCCCAATTTCCTCCATAGGGGGTCAGCAAACAGAGAAAAAAGCCAGCTCTTGCAGCAGGCCTGACTGTCTCAAGGTTGAACATCTACAGGACATGTATATAACAGCACTTTTGTTGTTCATCCTGGTGGTAACAACTGGATTTAGTCAGATAATGTGAACATGAAGGTCGGAAAAGATGTTTTGTTACTGTAACAGTCATCATGCACAGATTAAACTTGCAACAGAAACCTAATAATCTCTAATGGTTCCGTCTTCTATGGCCTCACTCAAGTAAAGGGACCATTTTACCACGTAAAACACACAAAGGGCGGACCATTAAATCTGGTCACAAAGTGTAATGAATGCCCCTTCACGATCAAAATGATAAATATATTTCAGAGTTAAGGAAAATTGGGGAGAATCCCCAAGAGCATAGAATGTCTTTGGAGGTACTGCCGTCAAGGTCAGACAGAGTGTTGTGTCCTTAATGTTCGTGTAGAAACATCATCCCAGGGGTGACCAGTAACAGGCGACCTAAAATTGTTTGACCAACTCCAGGCAGACTGGCCTACTTACATGTTTTACCCCAGATACTCATTGACTTTGTTTGACAAGGACTGTATAACAGTCACTAGGATGTCCTATATACAGAGAAGTACTGAACTGACCCAAAACATGCCTTGAATCTACATGCACACACTTTCAACTATCAATGAATAGGAACCACAAATAACATAGATACATCTTGTAGAATAGAGGCACTACCCGCAGTACAATAGAACATCTTACATGTGATAATGAGGTACTATAAGATACTGATAATGAGGTAATATAAGATACTGATAATGAGGCACGATACTGATAATGAGGTGAACATGAGGTACTATAAGGTATGAGGTAGGTTGTGAACGGTCCTAATGACATCCCCCACCACCACAACACATGACCACATACTTGTTTAATTTGCAGTCCCTCATGTACTGTATAGCCTCCATACTGTATGGATAGTAATTAAAAGGAACTAATTAAGAGGAATCGAGAAAGCCGCCCGTCAATCAGGACCGTTCTAACCTGGACCAATCAATATCTCACAATCTAGGAGCTCCATATTCCTCTAGCCGATCAGAGGGGAGAATTCTGTCTGGCTGATTTAAGAGAGCAGTTAATAAACTTGCAGCGTGCCCTGGCTGGTTGCGTGTAAATCTCAGACCACCACCATGGTTAATTTGGTTTGAAGGCCTACTTCAGAGGAAGTTGGGATGGGGGGCAAGAAGATGAATACTGTTATGTGGCATAAGGTGATAAATCCACCCCCTCACCAGGAGGTTGCCAACCCAACCAAGTCTCCCACCTAGTCCAGTTTGGTGATAAACGCTAAAAATATAAAATGTATTGTCAGAAGCATCCAGCAGCGCAGCTCAGACCCTTCAGTTAGGACAAGGAAAAGACAGCTTCAGGATCAATAGATCGAGAAGAGAGAAGAGTGAAGAGAGAGGGAGAGAATGCCAGAAGGAAATTGGGGGAAGACTGGTCTTGTGAGGAGATGAGGAGGACAAGGGCTGACAGATGAAATTAGCACGGGGTTACCTCCAGAGAGATGCCCAGTATTTCATGAGCTCCAAATTGCCCCCGTCTGATGCCTGTTCTTCTGGCACCTCATTATGAGGCTCAGGGGAGAGTGGTGGTCTATTCCAAACCTGCCCAAACTGACACTGCAGCACAATCCCCTCAGAGCCTCCCTAACCAATAGAAATGTCCTCGGTGCATTATCTCTGACCTCTAGCCGAATCAGCTCACACACACACAATTTTAGAATTTCAGCCCATCTCAAAGTGGGGAAAGCCATGAACCCCCTCTTCTACTGTACATTCACTCCCTGTGAGGCTGTATGGTCCTTGTACACTGTGCTACAAACCTATCTTATAATTTCCGAACCCCAACGACACTTACTGAATGAGCTCATTAGCTTATACTGTAAGTAACACCATTTTTACATTTGGATGCAGGCTATGATTTAAGGAAAAGGTGTGAATCTCTCCTGATTGACACTGAGGCATTCACGTCTTCTTTCCCCAGGGGAAGGTCGTCGTGTCTCTATCTAAAATCTGATTAGATTTGGAGCTTCTCTCCGCTGTGCGCATTGGGAGGTGGAATAATGGCCTCCGGTCAGAGGAACAGAAGCACTCTATTCCTCCATTCTATACTTACTGTTAGAGAGTAAAATCAGCACTCATATATTACATTCACTACTGTACATGGCACTTACTTATCGCTGTCATGGGGCATATACTGTACATATTGTTGCTGTCTGATGAAAACCTCCAAAACAGAAGCTTGGTAGGAAATTAATGAACATACAATTATGAAACATCAAAACCTATTTAGGATATTTTGAATACGTTTTCATGGTCCTAGAGTCATGAAATGTTCAGAGTACATTGAGGGGAGTTGCTACTTTCAATAAATGAAAAAATTAAATACAAATTTGCCAAAGATTTGTTACAAGGTTTTCATCAGACAGCGACGATAAGTGTAGTTATAACCACCCTTCCCACGTAAAGGGAGGATCATCTTCTCCCCAGTTACATCATGTTAGTATGTACAGTATGTGGATGATATCAAGTCAATTAGGAATATGTCATCATGTAATGTAGATGTGTGAAGCACAATAAAAGGCTCCTATGTTTTTCAAAACACAACATATCTTCTGACTCCAAGTACCTATTTCTATTATGTTGTAAGGCCCACAACTGTGATGTGACTCCTCAGGCTCAGTAGAGTGTCTCAACAGATCTCCAGTGCTACATTATAGATGGTGTGTCTACATGCGGTCCCTTTTGGACAGCAGACAAACCCAATAGCGCACCTCCATAGTGTTCCTAACCTTCCAGGGAGGTAGTAGATTCATTAAGATGTCACTACCACTCCCTGCAGTGGCATAGTGCTGTGTGTGTGTGTGTGTGTGTGTGTGTGTGTGTGTGGTGCCCAATACTCTGGCATAGGAGGATCAGTGTGTGACAATGTGAACCTGATCTGGGACACAGTGTCGGTGTGGGGATGAATAATTGATTGGGTTCTTTGAGGTAGAGTCTAGCGACGCTCCAAATGGCTGGATAGACTACAGTGTGTTCCTGTCCTGCCCTTGAAGATTCCCATAAGAACGTCAAAATGTGTTTAATACTGTACAGCCCTCTCTAAAGCAAAACCAATTCCTCCTCATTTATTGTCACAGAGATGCTGTGTTGAGTGACTACACAGCGCCCTCTGTTGGGGGTACAACTCCAGGGAAACCCAGTGAGAGCCATGTAGAGAAGTCAGATCAAAAGAGCACAACACTCAGTTAGATACAACCAGTGCTAAAGGACTTTGATGACCTCGAAACATGGACTAAGACACAGGAAGTCTCATCTTTCATTAGTTTGTCATCTCACTGAAATAAGGTCACAATGATGACAGGCATGATGTCTAGTCAATAACCTTCACTACAGTTTTAAAATCAGATCTGGGCTTTCAGGTGATGAATGTATTGGATTGTCAGTTGTCCACATACCAATAAGTCGTCACTACTGTAGATACATCATACTTATTTAAGCAGTGAACCCTCTGCACTAAGGGTGAGGGTGTCACTGGACTCAGATACCCCTGAGGTCTGATAGGGAACGGTGATGTCTGTACCCTGCCTGCCCTCTACTAGCTAATATAATGTGAGACCCGATCCAGGTGACCTGTTCAGAGTCATTTATCATGTATACACCCAGATCAATTATTGCAGTTACCTCGACTAACCTGTACCCTTGCACATTGACTCGGTAGCGGTACCTCTTGTATTTAGCCTCGTTATTGTTATTCTATTATTACTATTTTTCCTTTAGTTTATTTAGCAAATGTTTCTTACTTTTTTTAAACGCTGCATTGTTGTTTAAGTAATCATTTCACAGTAAGGTCTACACCTGTTGTATTCGGCGCATGTGATAAATCAAATTTGATTTGATTTTGATTTGATGAAGCGATCTGTGTGCTGGGCTCTGAGGTGGCTGAGAGGGTAGAGATGGAGGAATAAAGAAAGGAAGCAGTAGTGTCCACATCTCAAATCAAACCCACATGTGCAAACATGACTAAGGACTTTATTAACCAAATCATTTCCCCTGTAATATCCACAAATAAAAGTGATCTCTTTTATATTTATTCACATTGTGTAATTTTCATAGTGTGACAAAATTATATTTTGGATTTTCCAGCCATTCCTATAATTGTCATAGATCAGTCCCCATGCAGTCATTGGAAAGGTTGAAGAACGTAGTAACAATCTATCTGAGTAGATTGAGTGGACGGCATGGACAGACAGGTTCAGCTTTAATGCAGATATTTTCCTTGGCTCCTCTCGTTATTGAAAAACCGGCAGATACCTAATCATCGATTTGATCACACTGCGACATACAAAATAAATAAATGAAGAAAGCAATATCCTCCTGCAGAGTCTTCTTCTTCGAAATTTTTCTATTTTATATATAATAATAATGACTATAATTATCGTTGATATAAATTCAATAGTATTTTTCTCTGTCAAACTTAAATACATTATTTTGGCAATCTTTATATGGTGTTTAGAATAAAATACTCAAATAGAAAATAAAAAGGAGAAATGAGAGCCAGAAGAGGAAAGAAGGGAGAAAGAACAAAAGAATGAAAGAAAGGAATAGACAGAAAAGAGAGAAGAAGAAAGTAAGAGAAAGAAAGACAGAAATAATCAAAGTCAGAAATATACAACTTTAGTTGTTGTTGAAAAGTGTCCATCATCATCATCATCATTGTTCCGTGCCAGCTCTCTGTGTAGAGCTGCAGTAGAGTATACAGTCCAAGTCCTGGAGTGTGTAACATAACTCCTTGTGTTATACCAGTGTGTAGGACTTTGCGTAGGGGTTGTTGCTCTGTTTTAAGTGTCCTCTGGAGTCTAGCAGGGACTCCTGTGAGCTGCTGAGCTTGGCGGCCTGCGCCTGGGCCAGGTCTCCTGTGGCCTCACGGCCAGTGGGCTCACGCTGGGGCAGTGTGGAGGCAGTCTCTGGCTGCCACTGCTGCACCTCCCTGGACGTGGGCACCTCCATGGGTGTGGGCTCCAGGAGCGGGGGCCGTTTCAGGGTGCGGCTCTTCTGGGGCTCCAGACATGCCTGGCCCAACGCCCCTGCCTCCCCTCCTCCTCCTTCTCTTCCTCCGTTACCACCATTGGACCCCCGGCCTCCCGACGCAGAGCCACGGTTTAACAGGAAGTCCATGCGTAGGTACGGGGGCAGGTGCACCAGCTCTCCTCCTGAGGGATGAGACCAGAGAGGGGGGTTAGAGGGGTACCCAGTCAGAAAGGGGGTACACTCACTACACTGGGAGGACAATTCTCAATGTCAGCATTACTCTGATACTTTCTATTCCATAGGGGTCTTTTCATAAGGTATGTACTTTCTGCCAGGATATATGGTATATGATAGGAAATCATATGATTTCAGTTTGGATAATGTAATCTAATCTATTATATTGAGTCGGGAGGATACAGATTCTATAAGGATTTCAGGACGGTATCATTTTTTTATGGCTTGGCGACGAGATTACTTATCCTACGATATTGCTGCATTAGCCTGTCAGATTCATATTCAAATCACTTTTCAATTTCTTCAGGACTATCACGTCGAACAGACCTGCACTGCCTACTCTCAAACCCTCCTCATCTGTACCGGGGGTTAACTGAAGCAAAAAGGTGGTTCAAATCTCATTCGGAGACAGATTCTTTGCTGTCCAGGAGCCAGAATAAACCAAGCCTGTGACGTAACCCAAGTGTACGTTTAGTCAATGACACTGCAGCACTTTAAAAGACTTGGGCTTCTCTACACAGTATTCCCCCATGCAGACAGTGAATCACTGGACATGGTTGAGTGGATGATGATACCATCACTTCTGCTGTAAATGTATCTCGTCCACTGAATAAATTACATATTTAATTTAGGAAATTAGATCATCACAAAGACGTAGCCAGAGATGTATGAGTCGTACTAAAGATTTTAGACTTGATTAGGAGTGGTGGGGAGACATGTACTGTTCCATTACTGCTCTAATGGATGTCTTCAATACTAATCTTTCAGAGGCCACAGAGATCAGCAGGCTTCAGTGACTGGCCTTTTCTATGCCAAATCACTATCCCCCACGACCATCACCGCCACCACCACCACCACACAGAGGAGGACTGGCCCATCTATGTAGATTGTATCCTACATGTGACCTTAGTGACTGAATCCCAGAGTTCGCAGGGAGCATGCATAATTTACTGTGTATATAATAGGCTTTATTAAAACCAGTAAAGATGATAAATGGCAACCAGCTTTAATTGAATTAAATATAGATTTAAGCTTTTCTTTGGGAGCTCATTGGGAATTTATTTAGCTGAAAGTTGCAGGGCGTAGGTAATGGCACAACTTGTATCCGCTACACAATAATGATTCCCAGCCATGCAATAAGTCTCTAAGCTGGGGGGTTTGATGTATATGAGTGTTTTAACATTTTGTGTGCCCAAGTCGATCTGTGCTGCTGGGGAAGGAGCTGTTCTCATTTTCTGTAATCTGGCCTTCCAATGAGCTTCCACAACTACCCACACATTGGTAAACAGACAGACACATCGCGTGTGCACGCATGCACACACCCACACACACCCAAACACACAGAGACACCTTGGATTGTTTAAAGGCCCATCACATGTTGACTACTCAGCACAAGAAACAGTGTTGCAGTAAATGTTTATGAGCTGAGAACCTCAAGATCATCCTCTTTGATTGGCTCCCTACAGTAATTGTACAGGACAGACTGTTTATGAGAGGTCACACAGATCGTTGCCCAATGTTTCCATCCAGTTTGCCCCAATGACTCTATGGTCACACACACACACACACACACACACAAAGAAATGACCTTGCCAAATCCCACACGTAGTGGATACACGTAATGTCAAAGTCATGACCCCAGGTTGACCTACTGTATCAGTATCAGCTGTGTGTGATTGTGATTGACAAATGTCAGAGTAACAGGAGAGAGGGCTGTGCCCTCCTGTGTGTCCCTGTGTGACTGACAGATGAGGTCGCAGTGTCAACTCAGGGCAAAGGTACATTATTACAGAAGGGGGGGGGGGGGCAGTGGGCCACAGACAGACAGACAGACACTATTGTATGTCATCATCAACATGTATGCTTTATATTGAAGATTGCCTTTTTTCTTGAGGATTCTGATCATACTGACACTCACTGGGCAAAAACACCCTAAAAAGGAACTGTGTTCAAACTAACATGTGTGAATTCCACAGTGTGTGCCACAACAGAGCTGGCTAATGGTATTACAGACTGGTAACAACGGTCTTCAACAGGGACTTACTGTAGAAACCTCTAAAGCTTGTCTATGTGTCGCTGGTGTCGCCCAGCTCCCGCTGGATGAAAGTAACACCAGGGTTAGCACGACGCTACAACAGGCTCTGCGTCTGAAAGACCGATATCACACTGAACGTCTTTATTGTGGTAGTAAAGTGCTGTTTTGTATTGACAGACAATAGCTTTAGATTGGATTGACAGATTGCCTCTACTTGCCCTCAGCTGATGGTTTAAGCCTCCCGCTGGCTGATGACTGTGGGCAGCTGGCTCGTGTACGCACCATGAAAACATAATGAGGGACGGAAACTCAAGACCCAGCTCAGATAGCCAAAACCTGTCTACCTCGTCTCACTCACTCACCCCAGCCCAGCTCCTGCCTCCAGACACCATCAACAACTAGCTAGTCTTCATACCCCTAGCCCAGACTGACAACACGGCAGGCCAGGACTCGCTAAACGCACGATATACAATCTGTCTCTGTGTGTGTGTATGTTTTACAAAAAGTATTTGAAGAATGTGTATTTCCTCATGTCTATGTATTTCAACCCAGTCTGTTTGGTCTGTCCACAAGCTGTGCCAAACAGTGGTACCAATAGGAACGGGAGGTGAGGAGCAGCAGGTCATATGAGGCCAACCTGGGAGAGGATAGTTTCAGAAAGACGAATAGCCTGACAGACGGACAGCTCCTCCATGTGCAGACATTTCTGCAGAGCGCTGAAGATGAATACAGCACTGTGAGAGGGGTATTACTGGGTTTTAATAGTGTTTGTACTTCATCAAGCATTAACAGCATGCCAGAGGGGTTATCTGAGGAAGTGTATCTCATGATCATGATCATTATTTTGCAATAGGCGTTTTGTAATATGCTGTGTTAAATGAAAGCTATAAAACTTAACTTTGAACAAGCCCAGAGATCTATGGAAGTTACAGTAGTAATGTTGTGGCCCAAGGCCTAATTGGACCAGAACTGAACTGCTATCTATAGCAGTGTTTTCCAGCTCCGGTCCTCGAGTACCCCCAACAGCACACATTTGTGTTGTTGCCCCAGACAGAAACACCTGATTCAACTTGTCAAGGGCTTGATGATTAGTAGAATCAGGTGTGCTTCTCCAGGGCCACAACAAAAATATGTACTGTTGGGGGTACTGGAGGACCGGAGTTGGAAATCACTGATCTAGAGTAATGCGGAAAATAATACATCATAATGTAGTTTCAGTAAGGTTTGAACTGTACTGTGTGTGTGTGTGTGTGTGTGTGTGTGTATGTGTTTGTATGTCTGTGTGTGTTCTGTATATGAGTGCTGCCTTCTCCTCACCCGGTCTGTGGGCCTTGGGTGCGGCCATGTTCATGACCCGGCTGACGTCCTGAGGCTTGGGCGGGGAGGCGGTGAACCTGCAGATGCCTGACTCGGACGGCGTGCTGGACGTCAGGCTGTCTGTGTAGTCGTTGGTGCCGGCCGTCATTTGCTCCGAGGAGGTGTCAGAGATGAAGCACTCTGTGATGGTGAACTTAGCGTGCCGCAGATGCTCCTCCATCTTGGCGTGCTCGTAGGCCCGGGCCAGCTCCTCGTACGTGGACGACGCGCTCTCTGTCGACACCATGCTGCTCCGCGCGCGGTCTGAGTAGTCACACACACACACACACACACACACACACACACACACACACACACACACACACACACACACACACACACACACACACACACACACACACACACACACACACACACACACACACACACACACACACAAAAAAAACATCCATTATAGTATATGCATATAGCTGAAATTTCCTAAGAAATATAGAAAATATCTTAAAACATACCGTGAGCACTCTGACCCTTCCACGTACAGTAGTAGTGGTCTCCCCTTTGCTGCAGACTAATGTTGTATGTGAGACATAGGGTCAGTCCAGTACCTGTGTCCTGCGATGGGCTGACACTGTAGCTGTCGCTCTCCTTGTCTACAGAGCCGGCGGCATTCGGTGTGGGCAGTCTCCAGTCTGTGCTCAGGGTGTGGGAGGAGGTGGGAGGTTGGGGCCGGTTCAGGGTCCACTGGCTGGCGTAGCGGTTCCTGCTGGCTGCAGGGCCTGCTTTGGCAGTGCGGCGTGCTGTGGGGTCTGTGGGTGAAAGGGCCAAGGTCATTACTGGTGATAGGCCTAGGCAGTGTCAGATATGGCAACCTATCCCCTATGTAGTGCACTACTTTTGACCAGTGTCCATATGGAATAGGGTGTCATTTCGGACATACCACTGAAGAGCTACTAGACAGTAAATTGCATACTATATATTGAGTTTTAATTGTCTGTGTATCAAATTACACAAACATCTATTGATCATTAATAATTAATAGGTTTGAAATTACAGTATCATCCTAACCTTTCACAGTAGATATAATATTCCCCAAAGACAAAAATAGTATCATATTCGGTCTGACCCAGACATTTAACCTACTGTGCTATGCATCAATGGCACCAAATCAGAATGTCCCTTTAGAACAGCCATGATTAGATCCGGCCTGGAGAAGCCAGAGAAGAATAGCAGTGGTAATGGTAGTAGGTAGTAGCAATTCCATCAGTAATTCCAACACTCTGGATAGATGTGGCTGAGTCAGCAGATAAGGTTCAAGCCCACTGTGCTTATTTTTTTGGCCCACAGTGCCTCCTGGCCAGCTTCAATGACCCCAATCAGGTGGAGCCAGAGGCCTCTCCACTCTTCATCAGTTCAACTTTACTGAAGCTCAGCAGCAGAAGAGCCTCCATAGGCCACTGTGCAGCCACTGCCTTGGCTCACAATGCTCTGGGCTGTGGGCTCTGTAAGGGGATCTGAGGGTTGAAACTATGATAAGCTGAAAATTCTGGTTTGCTTAGAATGGATTTGGGATCAGGGTATGTGGATACCTGGAGGAGCTATTGTTTATAAAAACTCTAGAGTCTAAACACTGATTGGAGGACTGGGGTCCAGTTACAGGCACCTGAGAGAGAAATATGTACAATGATGCTTGGATTGAATGCAACTATATCAAAAAATATTAATCTTGACAAAGAGCATTCTCTTATTTCACATAACTACAACCAAATAAACACTGAATTGCCCCTATTCCTCCAGGGGACGACATTAGGCTAGTAGCTTACTGTACGTCAGAGTAAAGGTGGTGAGGGGTGGGATATAGAGGTGATTAAATAGGTAAGGCTCTTACTAGTTCCAGGCCGGGCGTCGGAGACGTCCACCAGTGGGCCGGTGGCCTGCGACAGGGACTGGTAGTGGACTGTGTGCGTGACAGTGGATGACTTCTGTTTGGACGTCTCCCCAAAGTCATTATCAGTCAGCAGCACCGTCGACCTGTCGTCTGACAGACAGAAAACAGGGAGGAAGACAATGAGTTGTTAGAAAAGATGATCAAATATAACATGCAAGGGATAAGCATACTGTAAGCTGGCGGGGATGACAGGGGTCTCACCGATAGTCTCCATAGTATCTCTCTCCTCGATGAGCAGCTGGGCTCGGGGGATGTCGATGTGCATTCTCATGGTCTGCTGCTTGTTCGATGTGTCTGGTGTCCGTGTGTTTTTACTAGGAGATAGAAATGTCAGTTAGGAGGTATTGTTTGCAAGTATTCAGTCATAGTTTTAAAGTAACTGTCCATTGAAAATATAACTTTTAAAAGCCCATATTTTGTCAACTCATACCCAAATAATGTTGTTGACTCATCCTATACACGTATTTGTGGCCAAAGTATAAATTGGAGAAAAAACACTTCAAAAACATACCTCAAACTTGTATCTCAAACAGACCGTTTCAAAAATACTTGCTATTTCCTCTTACAGTATGTCATACTCCTGAGGAGGATGAGCTGGCCAATCAGCGATCTGATCGCATTAATATTTTTAATGACTGGTATACTCCCACACCATTCTGTTGTCGGGGTACGCCCACACCATTCCAACACAGAAAAGTTTTTTTTTTTAAACATAATACATTTTGGAAGGGAAACTATTTCACTCATATTGTAAGTAATTATAGGTAATATTTCATAGAAATCTGGAAACACTGGACAGTTAATTTAAAGTATTTTATGATTCCTATCTAAAGTTAAGATGTATTCCTCTTCACATACCTCATCAGCATTTCTGCCAGGCTTTTTGCATCTGTGAAGTCAGCATATAGTAAATTAGTAACAATGCAGAGTAGTGGTTGTCAAAAGCTAACATATTAAAATCATAAGCACCAAGCCAATATCCTAGATGTGCAAAACTAGAACATTAGTGTGGGCAAATTAAAAGTGGAACACTAGATCTGATCAGACTAAACTGATAGCCTCTTAATTACATAATGAAAGTCAATAGTCACAATTCTACTGGCTCTGCTCAGGTTAATTGATCCTCACTCTCTTGATCATGAAGCATACAGCTCTAAAAAGTGCTTGAGTGTTATTGAGTGCCTTGTTTCTATTGTGTGAGTGCGCGTGTGTACGTGTGTGTGCGTGTGTTCTGACTCACCGCGTAGCCTCTTGAGCCTCTGCTCCCTCCTCCTCCTCTTCAGCACCATCAGGAGGATGAAGACCATGATAGCAGCCACCAGGATGCAGGTGATGGTCACCATCATCTTCAGCCCCTCGTTGCCTGACATGTTGTCTGTGATGGGGTCCACTGTCTTCAACAGAGGAGGGATGGTGCCTGCGGAGGAAGGAAACAGATAAGCTTGGGGAACATACCATCCAGAGTATCAGGCATGACTATTTAAAGATGCACCACCAGGGTTGGAACTTGGGAGGACTAAGAATCGTAGTCAAATATGTGTCTTTGGAAGGCCTTCTTTGGAATATGAAATTATCACGGTTTAGGAAAAAAAATTGTCATCCTAGAAGACCATTGATCTGAACTCACTTCCATCCGCATTGAGCGTGGCGAATGTGATCTTCTTCTCGGCGGAGCCGGCGCTGTTGACCACCTTCATCTGCAGCTCGTACCAGGTGGCCTCCGCCAGGTCGTACAGGATGTAGCTCTTGGTTAGGGAGGTGCGCTGAGCCGTGGTCCACGTTGCCGTGTCCACCGGACGATACTCCAGGGTGAACGAGGTGATTGGGCAGCCACCATTGTTCCACCCAATTAGATTGAGCCTGACCCGGGTGGAGTTGATGCTGGCAAACAGCTCGTGTTCTTTGGCAAACTGGGGCTCTGGAAAGAAGAGGGGTGAAGAGATTAGATGTAGACTTCTAAGGATGCCTGTAACATTTTATTCATGAACCAAATCAGGTCACATAATAATTGAGCAAGTTTGAGGAATTGCTTGATAAAGCTTTAGATAGGACTATTGAGTTAGAGTCTGTTCTAAGGGGACATTGGTGAGGTGGAGATGCTATAGAGCAGAGATGGGCAACATTGATGGGGTGGGGGCCACTAAAAAGTTGCTTGCAGGTCTGCGTACCCACATGTGCATACACACACACACACACACACACCCCACCACCACATTGCGAACAAAACATTTTAGCAGCCCCCCTCTTGACAGCGGACAGAATTTTTCTATGTTTTAGAGTTAATTTCGTGCAATTCTACACATTTTGCCATGGGGCGTATAGAAAATGTTGCAGTTTTATAACTCATTTATTGCAATTCTACTCCTTTTTCCATGGGGCGGAGAGGAAAATTAGCCGTTTTACATTTTGCCATAGAGTGGAGAGAAATGTTTTTAGTTTTTAATGTGATATCTAAGTGGGATTGACTAACAAAATCAATGGGGGCCCCTCGGCCGGTAATTCGACCATGATTACTAAGTTTAGATAGCTGGCCGCTAGACTAACTTACCAATCTAAAAAATGTTAGCTGACATGGGCTAATTGAGTGACTATCAGTGACTGACATAACAAGAGAAAAACTGCTGATGCACAACCAAATTTCAAAATTGCACCTTGTGTATTATACTATTCTAACTTGCAACAGTAAGTTGAGAACCCGACTGAGTAAAAAAATATACAGTGGGGAGAACAAGTATTTGATACACTGCCGATTTTGCAGGTTTTCTTACTTACAAAGCATGTAGAGGTCGGTAATTTTTATCATAGTTACACTTCAACTGTGAGAGACGGAATCTAAAACAAAAATCCAGAAAATCACATTGTATGATTTTTAAGTAATTCATTTGCATTTTATTGCATGACATAAGTATTTGATCACCTACCAACCAGTAAGAATTCCGGCTCTCACAGACCTGTTAGTTTTTCTTTAAGAAACCCTCCTGTTCTCCACTCATTACCTGTATTAACTGCACCTGTTTGAAACTCGTTACCTGTATAAAAGACACCTGTCCACGCACTCAATCAAACAGACTCCAACCTCTCCACAATGGCCAAGACCAGAGAGCTGTGTAAGGACATCAGGGATAAAATTGTAGACCTGCACAAGGCTTGGATGGGCTACAGGACAATAGGCAAGCAGCTTGGTGAGAAGGCAACAACTGTTGGCGCAATTATTAGAAAATGGAAGAAGTTCAAGATGACGGTCAATCACCCTCCGTCTGGGGCTCCATGCAAGATCTCACCTCGTGGGGCATCAATGATCATGAGGAAGGTGAGGGATCAGCCCAGAACTACACGGCAGGACCTGGTCAATGACCTGAAGAGAGCTGGGACCACAGTCTTAAAGAAAACCATTAGTAACACACTACGCCGTCATGGATTAAAATCCTGCAGCGCACGCAAGGTCCCCCTGCTCAAGCCAGCGCATGTCCAGGCCCGTCTGAAGTTTGCCAATGACCATCTGGATGATCCAGAGGAGGAATGGGAGAAGGTCATGTGGTCTGATGAGACAAAAGTAGAGCTTTTTGGTCTAAACTCCACTCGCCGTGTTTGGAGGAAGAAGAAGGATGAGTACAACCCCAAGAACACCATCCCAACCGTGAAGCATGGAGGTGGAAACATCATTCTTTGGGGATGCTTTTCTGCAAAGGGGACAGGACGACTGCACCGTATTGAGGGGAGGATGGGTGGGGCCATGTATTGCGAGATCTTGGCCAACAACCTCCTTCCCTCAGTAAGAGCATTGAAGATGGGTCGTGGCTGGGTCTTCCAGCATGACAACGACACGCAACACACAGCCAGGGCAACTAAGGAGTGGCTCCGTAAGAAGCATCTCAAGGTCCTGGAGTGGCTTAGCCAGTCTCCAAACCTGAACCCAATAGAAAACTTTTGGAGGGAGCTGAAAGTCCGTATTGCCCAGCGAAACCTGAAGGATCTGGAGAAGGTCTGTATGGAGGAGTGGGCCAAAATCCCTGCTGCAGTGTGTGCAAACCTGGTCAAGACCTACAGGAAACATATGATCTCCGTAATTGCAAACAAAGGTTTCTGTACCAAATATTAAGTTCTGCTTTTCTGATGTATCAAATACTTATACATTTACATTTTAGTCATTTAGCAGACACTCTTATCCAGAGCGACTTACAGTTAGTGAATACATTTTTATTTTATTTTTATACTGGCCCCCCATGGGAATCGAACCCACAACCCTGGCGTTGCAAACGCCATGCTCTATCAACTGAGCTACATCCCTGCCGGCCATTCCCTCCCCTACCCTGGACGACGCTGGGCCAATTGTGCGCCGCCCATGAGTCTCCCGGTCGCGGCCGGCTGCGACAGAGCCTGGATTCGAACCAGGATCTCTAGTGGCACAGTTAGCACTGCGATGCAGTGCCTTAGACCACTGCGCCACTCAGGAGACGTATGTCATGCAATAAAATGCAAATTAATTACTTAAAAATCATACAATATGATTTTCTGGATTTTTGTTTTAGATTCCGTCTCTCACAGTTGAAGTGTACCTATAATAAAAATTACCGACCTCTACATGCTTTGTAAGTAAGAAAACCTGCAAAATCGGCAGTGTATCAAATACTTGTTCTCCCCACTGTATATAATTTTTTTAATCCGAGGGCCAGTTGCCCATCCCTGCTATAGAGACTCTACCTTTTCCGTGGGTCTTTGCTTCAATGATCTCACTGATGCGTCCGGGGCCCACTCCGTTCTGAGCAGTCAGGGTGAACTTGTACCAGGTGCCACACTTCAGGTTCTCCAGACGGTACGAGCGCTCGCTAGGGCTGATTGGAAAGCTGCCCCACTGCTCACTGTTGTCCTCGGAGTACTGCAGGATGTAGCCTAGAGAGAGAGAAAGAGGAAAAGATGGAGACGGAGGGACAAAGATAGAGCATTACTGTAACATTTCTCCCAACATACTCCAAGTTAATCTAGTATTTGCACTTCCCTTACAACAGATTGTTCAGTGTTAGACATGGGCTAAATACCGATAAACATGCCATTGAGATTGATTAACATTATATGTAACATAAGGCAGGACAACAGCACCTGATCAAAGCCACGATTCACTCTACACGGATAACAGGAAAATAAGGCACTGTATTGTGGTAAGTGCAAGGACTAGACAACATCATTTGACTCGTGACATGAAAACAAATACCATAGGAAATCATCCTGGACATCCCTTAAAATCTATTTTAAAAAGCTTGAGAGGCCAGAAGCACCATGTTGTGTTCCAGTGATGACCAGCTATGATAAATCATCAGTGCTACTCCTTCTGTGATTGGCCTTTCTTCTTGACTGAGTGGTTTAATCTTCCACGTTAACCCACCTAATCTTCTTTGTTCCTTTTTAATCTATTCCCTCTCCACTGTTTTAGCACCCCACTCAGCGCAATTACTAGGCCTGTCTAAGATAATGAGAAGTGGGGGGCCTTGTAAGATGATTTTGTTCACCCAATGTCCTAATAGGGTACTAGCCGTGTTACTGAAGTGCCATTGGTGTGTCTTAGTAGTTACCAGTGACTTGTTGAGGTGTCGTTGGTGTGCCCGAATGTAGGTCTACTTTATCTCTTGTTGAAATGTCATTAGTTAGTATGTCTGAATGGGGATCTTTGTCTTGTTGAAGTGTCACTGGGGTGTCGGAAAGGAGGTCTATGCCTTGTAGAGGTGTCTCTGGTGTGTCCAAATGGCCTAATGTCACTCACCTCTGATGGAGCTTCCTCCGTTGTCCCCAGGTATCCAGGACAGAGTGATTGACGTGGTGGTTGTCTTGGTAACTGTGAGGCGTGGCTGGTCTGGAGGAACTGTAGAACAAAAGGAATTATGTTTAGAACAAGATCCATGACAACAAAGCATCTGTGCTACATCAAACTAGCCACGAAGTGTCCTCAGAAGAGCTACTGCTAACCTACGTAGAAAGGCCTTTGAAATGTTAGTACCAATTAGTATTGGACAGTTTTGGACAATTCCCCTTTTACATCTCTCCTTACCTTGAACCTGCAGGTTGAGCGTGATTTCATCAGAGCCCCAGTTGTTGCTGGCCACGCAGCTGTAGTTCCCAGAGTCCTCTGCTTTCACCGTCCGGATGATGAAGCTGCCGTTGCTATGGACACTGCGGCGTCCGTCAATCAGAACAGGGTCAGGGGTACCATTGCTGTTGAGAGGTAGAGTTGACCAGATGATGTTCAGTACAGTATGTGATCATAGTAAAAACATGATTAAAATGTTGACATTCCTGCATGTGTTGAATCATGTGACAGATGGGCGTTGACCATAGAGATGTATAGAGATCATTACCCAGTTTTGCATGGACATTGCCATTGAGGACTTTCATAATTTTAAAGTAGTCAACTGGGTGGAGATTCCTATGGGTTGGGAGCGATAAGCCAACGATCAGAGCATTGTCTTCTTCAAATTGGTTTGCCTAGTTTGTAAATGGCTTAAAGCTATATGACCGCCATCTAGTGGCCACAATAAATGAATGAGACACAATATTTGGTTCAAGACTCCAGCACTGCAGGTGGCGGTAAGTCACCAATATTAGCTTTACACTTTTTTCAAACGTCAAAAAAAAAAAAGAATGGGACTACTTTAAAATTGAGATAGCCTCAATGGCGCTGTCAATGCTGTCACAGACGCCATAATGGCACAGATACAACGTTGAGATCTCTATACATCTCTATGGCCTTGACTTACTTTCCCTTCAGCCACTTGATAGTGGGGGGTGGATCGCCGACTGCCTTGCAGGGCAGAACGATGTCCCTCATCCAGGGTGTAGTCACCGTTCCGTTGAACGTCAGGATCCTGGCAGGAGCTATGGGGGTTATATACATGCATCACTGTGACAGTACCATTCTATTCCAATGGAAAACAATTAATAATAATAACAGAACGCAAGCAATATCCTAGATGTCAACACCATCAACACCATACTGCAATCAATAATACAGTACTTCAGCATGATTAGTTTTGATTCCCAACTTTTAATAGGTACCTTTGGCTAGAGGTTCCACTGTGATGGTCTCACTGCTGTTGCCTCGCCCAGCGGCTGTCACGGCAACCACCCAGATGCTGTACTTCCTGTTGCGGGCCAGGTTTGGCACTCTGTAGAAATATACATCAGGAGAAGCCTCAAACTCACTCATCACCTGGAGAGAGAGAGGGAGAAAGGGAAGGGGTTTACACGTCTGTGCATTTATCATACAACTTGAACAGGGGAGTAATCTTCAAGAGTATTCTCTCTCCCTACAGGACTTTCTAATACAGCCCAGAATGGCAGGACTGGAGGCGGCGTTATAATGAGTGCTCAAGGATGCTGTGAGAGCTGTGTTAATAATAATACAGCTCCGTACCGTGGGGTGCAGGTTGGAGCAGAAGACGATGTACTTCCTGATGATGCCGTTGAGTTTGAGAGGAGGGAGCCAGGACACAAACACCACGGAGCTGGTGGAGGCTGCAGCCTTAACCCCCGCTGGAGGCCCAGGGACTAGTGGGAGGAAGGAGGGAAAATATAATGTTAAACATACATATATACTGCACGTATTAATAGAAACATTGAATATGGGCTTATATGGTCTCATTGAAACCCATTGCAGACAGTGCTTTATTACTGAAATCTGACTTGAAGTATGCGTGCATAGCTTGAACTTTTGCAGGAATCATGCTTTGATGTCAATGTGAAAGCAACGATCCACATCTATCTCAAGTGTATCTCAAGCCAGGATTTGTATCTCACCGTCTTCCTTGGTCCGGGTGAAGATCTGCTCGCTGCGCACCCCGTCCCCGGCCCGGGTGAAGGCCAGCACTTGGATGCTGTAGTTGGTGTATTTCTCCAGACCATCCAGCTCCAGAGACGGATAGGAGGTGGTCACGTTCCTGATCTCTCCCAACTCTGACAATGTAACAACAGTTACAAACAACCTTTTATCACTCACTCTCACACCATGTCAAATCAAGTCTATGATCCAGTGTGAACTACAGTGACCACAATAACACAATAAACCTATAACATGCTCCCTGTAAGACCACACTGCAAACTAAAATACAAGACGATGCTCATACACAGTAAGCTACTGTGATTTTTGACCGAGGTAGTATCTGTGATATTGTAATGACTGACTACTGGCAGTAGTGCTCTGTCTGCTGCGTCTCCTCTGTCCTTGACTGAGTGTCCTTGTAGACAGAGCTGAAGCAGGGACTTACTGCATCCTGTAAATTATTGATGGAGGCCCGGCAGGCTGCAGGCTGGATCCCATCCACAGGGCCTGAGCAGGAGCAGGGTGTTAGCTCTGGGTGCTGCCCACTCTGGCCCTGTGGTACCTCCGATCATAGTGCTCACACCACCAGTGGTCCGCTAAGTGCCTGCTAGCTGGTGTGTTCTGAGTGTGTGTTAATAAGCCCCTACCTCCATCTGGCAGGTTGGCCCAGTAGATGACTCTGTAGCCCTGCAGGTTTCCGTTGAGGGCCTCTTTAGGCAGGGTCAACCAGGAAAGAGAGATGACTTCTGGAGACTTGGCCATGGCCAGGACATTCTCAGGGGGACGCGAGGGGACTGTTAAGGGACAGGAGGGGAAACGAAGTTAAGACAAATGTACAGACAATGATAAAACTAGGCTGAAATATCTCCCCCTACTGGCTTCTAACTGTATTAGTGATTTCAAATCTTTCGGTTTGAGGTAATTCAGCAATCATCCAGAAGATGGTAGTCTACCTACGTCAGTGAATTTTCACACTGTGCAACATTCTCATGCTATCAAGAGGTAAACTAAACCACCTCTACCCTACCCCACTCCTTAAACCCCCTGATCCGTACTAACCATCCTCCAATGTTTTGGTGATGACCTCCTGAGAGGAGGGCCCAGTGCCAGCACGGTTAGCCGCCTGCACAACCACTCCGTACTCAGTGAACTTCCTGAGGTTGTCCAGGGTGATGCTCTCGCTGCTGTCCCCTGTGGTGTCCATGCTGATGATGTTAAACTGGAAGCTGCCTCCAGAGCTGTACTCTCTGTAACCCACCTGGTAGCCCCGGATCACCCCGTTCTGAAGGTGCTTATGGGGGGCCTGAGGAGGAGGATGAGGGATGGGGGGGCAACAACAGTGTGTTAAAAAGCTGCCATCCTGTTTTGCTTATAATTAGGGTAACAGGTTTGGTCAAATGCTCTTCATTACTATTGGTCCCATGTAGCTCAGTTGGTAGAGCATGGCGCTTGCAACGCCTGGGTTGTGGGTTCGATTCCCACAGGGGGCCAGTATGAAAATGTATGCACTGAATAAGAGCGTCTGCTAAATGACGTAAATGTCATATCATAGGATCAGACTGTACATAGACAAAGATAGAAACAGGAAACTAGCTCTATCCCACTGGGCACAGATGTTTATTCAACGTCTTTTCCACATTGGTTCAACGTAATTTCATTGAAATGATGTTGATTAAACCAGTGTGTGCCCAGTGGGATGTATGTCCATGATAAATAGGATCAAACTGTAGACACAGATAGAAACAGGAAAATAGCTCTGTTTAACTCCATGAAGACACAGTACCTTCCAGGTGACTTTGATGCTTTGTGGAGAGGTGGCCTCCAGTTGTACTTCCTGTGGAGGACCATCGGGGGCTATAGAACAGATGTGTAATATTAACACAAAATACTCTTATGAGAGAGTCAGTTGAATGAGGCAGAGACGATAGAGAAAGCAATACTTTTTTCTGGTTGGTGTGTGGCGAATGAATTAAGTAGACTAGACCCAGCTGCTATCGCTTTGGTGCCTATGGGAGAGCCACCCCTTAAGTAGACCGGAACTGTGAAAAAAATGTTCAATGGTAAAAGGGCTTTTTGAATCATGTTTATAATCAGACATTCATTATATTTAGGAAATATCTCACTAGATGGCGCTACAGCGCTAGAAAACCCTTTGCTCTGTTATGAATGAGAGATTGACCTTTACTGTATTCTAGGGAATATTACAAAAAAAAAATACATATCCATGGCTAAAATCTGAAGACAAACAGAACATGTGTCAACCTGGTTTGGAACATAACTACATTATGTTTTGACCCAGTGAAGGAGAGATCTGTGTGGGCTGACCTGCTTCGTCAGTGGTGATGGTGAGCTCGTTGCTGGTGTCGCTCTTGCCAATGTTGTTCTTCGCGAATATGCGTATGTTGTAGGTGGAGGATGGGTGCAGGTCTATGATGGTGGCCTGGTTCAGCTGGGGGGACACGTCTTTGGTTATCTGGGCTGAATTCCACGAGGCTAGGGGGGAAAACACAATTAACCTATTAGCATCTCTGTATGACATGACAACCAACAATAAACAAGTTAGATAATGCAGAAACAGATTTAGTTATAACTATGTCGTATGCAATTTCATATGGATTTCTCATGTTATTCCATAGGCCTATATGCCAGCCCTACCTGATTTGTTCTTGCACTCAATGTCATATCCTGTGATAGGGCTGTTTCCGTCGAAGCCCATGGTCCAGCGGAGGGCGATTGTCCGGTCTCTGACCTCTCGGATCTCCACCTCGGGAGGGTCCGGAGGTTCTAAAAGGGTTAAACACCACACACAGAGATTAGATACATAGGTTTACCTGTTCACTTAGTTGACCTGACCAGGAGAAAACAACCTGCAGGCTCAAGTTAACTAGGGCTCAGAGATATTGGCTCATGTGGTCAGGAAAAACTTACAGTAGCAACAAAAAGGTACCACTATGGAGAAACAGCTTAACATGCTTGAGCTGAAGCCAGGGGTTTACCTTGCACTGTTAACTGAATGATGCCCCTGTCTTCACCATAGGAGTTAATGGCATGGCAGGAAAAGAATCCAGAATCTTCCCGAACAGTTGGCAAAATCTGAGGAGAGGTCAACGTAGTTTTTAACCAGGAAACATCACCATAATGCACCATAACAGTATTCAACTGATCATAACCTCTGGTTATTTTATAGGCTACACAAAATGTCCAACGTCAATCACTGCATGTACAAAGGCTACTATAATTATTCATGCTATATTGAGAGCTGTGACGAGGTGTGAAAGAAGGAGTCAGGCGCAGGAGGTAAAATACCAAAGTCCAGAGTTTAATCCGTTTGCATAAATCAAACGCCCCAAGCGTCAAACGAAACTGTACAAGGGAAAACATCCACCTTGGCAATAACACAGTGAAATGTAGCTCAACCGAGCTACACGCTCTCACAACAAAACAATCACTCACAAAGACAAGGGGAACAGAGGGAACACTTATACACATACTAATTAGGGGAATGAGCACCAGGTGTGTGTGATTGACAAGACATGACAAGTGGAGTGATGAGAATGGGATCGGCAGTAGCTAGTACTCCGGTGGCGACGAACGCCGAAGCCTGCCCGAACCAGGAGGGGGGGCAGCCTCGGCGGAAGTCGTGACAGTACCCCCCCCGCCGACGCGCGGCTCCAGCAGTGCGTCGACCCCGGCCTCGGGGACGGCCAGGAGGACGCGGAGCAGGGCGAGTCGGATGGCGACGGTGGAAATCCCTCAACAGGGAGGGATCGAGGATCCCAGCACCGTTCCTCCGAACCGTACCCCTCCCACTCCACGAGATACTGAAGGCCGCCTCGAATCCAGGATGGAATGAACCGAGTACGCCGGGGCCCCCTCAATGTCCAGAGGAGGTGGAGGAACCTCCCGTACCTCAGACTCCTGGAGCGGAGCAGCTACCACCGGCCTGAGGAGAGACACATGAAACGAAGGTTAATACGGTAATCAGGGGGGAGTAACAACCTGTATGTCACATCGTTTATTCTCCTCAGGACTTTAAATGGCCCCACGAACCGCAGGCTCAGCTTCCGGCAGGGCAGGCGGAGGGGCAGATTCCGGGTCGAGAGCCAGACCCGATCCCCCGGTATGAACACCGGGGCCTCCCTGCGGTGGCGGTCAGAGTTGGCCTTCTGACGACACACGGTGCGCTGGAGGCGAACGTGGGCAGCATCCCAAGTCTCCTCCGCGCGCCGAAACCAGTCATCCACCACGGGAGTCTCGGTCTGGCTCTGGTGACACAGTGCCAGGACCGATTGGTACCCCAAAACACATTGGAAGGTTAGTGGAGGAGTGGAGGAGAGAGTTCTGAGCATATTCTGCCCATGGCAGGAACACCGACCACTCCCCCGGCCGGTCCTGACAGCAGGTCCGCAGGAACCTACCCACATCTTGATTCCCCCTTTCCACCTTCCCATTGCTCTCGGGGTGAAAACCAGAGGTCAGGCTGACTGAGACCCCCAGACGTTCCATGAACGCCTTCCAGACTCTAGACGTGAACTGGGGACCTCGGTCGGACACTATATCCTCTAGTACCCCGTAGGGCCGGAAGACGTGAGTAAACAGAGCCTCCGCAGTTTGTAGGGCCGTGGGGAGACCGGGCAGAGGAAGGAGGCGGCAGGACTTTGAAAACCAGGACCAGGATCGTGGTGTTACTTTGGGAGGGGGGAAGATCAGTGAGAAAATCAATACTCAGGTGAGACCATGGTCGTTGTGGAACTGGTAAAGGTTGTAGCTTACCCGCTGGGAGGTGCCTAGGTGCCTAGGTGCCTTACTCTGAGCGCACACTGAGCATGAGGAAACATACACCCTCATGTCCTTAGCCAAGGTAGGCCACCAGTACTTCTCGGTCAGGCAGCACATTGTACGACCGATACCTGGATGACCAGAGGAGGATGACGTGTGTGCCCAGTAGATCAGACGATCACGGGTAAGCGCAGGTACATACTGCAGCCCAGCTGGACACTGCGGTGGAGATGGATCTGTGCGTAATGCCTGCACTATATCTGCGTCCATCGACCATACTACCGGAGCCACAATGCATGAGGCCGGGAGTATGGGGGTGTTGTCTCTGGGCCTCTCCTCTGTGTCATACAGCCGAGACAGTGCGTCTGCCTTCATGTTCTTCATACCCGGAATGTATGAGAGTGTGAAATCAAACCGGGTGAAGAAGAGGGCCCACCTGGCCTGGAGAGGATTCAGCCTCCTCGCTGGCCGAATGTACTCCAGGTTACGGTGGTCTGTCCATACGAGGAAAGGGTGTTTCGGCCCTTCGAGCCAATGTCTCCACACCGTCAAAGCTCAGACAACAGCCATCAGCTCCCGATCACCAACGCCGTAGTTCTGCTCCGCCGAGATGAGCTTCTTCGAAAAGAAGGCACAGGGGCAGAGCTTGGGTGGCGTGCCTGAGCGTTGGGATAAGACAGCTCCTATCCCTACCTCGGATGCATCCACCTCCACTACAAACGGTAGTGATAGATCGGGGTGAGCCAGTACCGGGGCTGAGGTGAACAGACCCCGCAATCTACTGAATGCCAAATCAGCCTCAGCAGACCAGCGGAGCCGGGCCGGCCCATCCTTCAACAAGGAGGTAATGGGAGCTGCGACCTTGCCAAAACCCCGAATAAACCTTCGATAGTAGTTGGCAAAGCCAAGGAAGCGCTGCACCTCCTTTACCGTGGTTGGAGTCTGCCAATTACGCATGGCTGCAATGCGGTCTCCCTCCATCTCCACACCTGTGGTGGCAATGCGATATCCGAAGAAGGATATTTAACTGCTGGAAAAAATCACACTTCTCTGCCTTGGCATGAAGATCATTTTCCAGCAGTCGGACCAGTACTTTGCGAACCAGGGACACATGCACGGCTCGCGTAGCGGAATACACCAGGATGTCATCGATGTAGACCACCACACCACGACCAAGCATGTCCCGAAACACCTCGTTCACAAAGGACTGGAAAACAGATGGAGCATTCATCAAACCGTAGGGCATCACCAGGTATTCATAATGCCCGAGGTTGTGCTGAATGCTGTTTTCCACTCATCCCCTTCCGAATACGCACCAGGTTGTAGGCACTCCTGAGGTCTAATTTGGTGAAAAAACGGGCCCCATGCATTGACTCAATCACTGAAGGAATGAGGGGAAGAGGATAACTAAATCGTACCGTCACATTATTCAGTGGTCGATAATCAATGCACGGGCGTAAACCGCCATCTTTCTTCTTCACAAAGAAGGAACTCGAGGAGGCAGGTGAAGTGGAGGGACGTATATACCCCTGGCGCAGGGACTCGGTGACGTATATTTCCATAGCTTCCGTTTCAGCCTGCGACAGGGGATACCCATGGGAGGTACAGTGTCTACCCGAAGGTTTATCATGCAATCCCCCTCCCGATGAGGTGGTAATTTAGTCACTTGCATCTTGGAAAACGCGAGCGCCAGATCATGGTATTCGGGGGGGAATGCGCACGGTGGGGGTATCGTCTGGACTTTCCACTGTGGTCGCACACCAACGGAGACACCTAGACACCTACCCGGACACTCACGCCAACACCCTGTAATAACCCTCTGCGGCCATGAGAAATTGGGATTGTGAAGGGCTAACCACGGGATACCCAAGACTACAGGGTAAGCAGGAGACTCAATAATCATAAAGGTGACCTGCTCAACATGTGTCTCCTGCGTAATCATGGTGACTGGTACAGTAACTTCCTTAACCAACCCGGACCCTAATGGTCAACTATCTAGTGCTCTGATGGGGAGTGGAATGGTTAGGGGAACCAATGAAATGCCTTGACAGTGTGCAAATGCCCTGTCAATAAAATTCCCAGCTGCACCTGAATCGACTAGCGCCTTACACTGGGAACCTACCAAGTGATCTGGAAAGGAGATAGATAAAGTACAGTGCACCGCAAAGGGCTCTGAACACGTTTGGGTGTTCGTTACATGGGGTGATGCGTGAGTACCCTGCCTACCGCCTCCAGACCCCAAAGAACGTTGACTGCGACGTGAGGTGGATTGTCCCTTCGTGCCACCAGAGTGGCACTGTCGCTGTCCTCCTGCGCTCTCTCGACCGGCAGCTCCCCCCAGCTCCATCTGCTCGGGGTCAGAGTCGTCCGGAGTGGGAACGGGCAGACCCCTACCAGGACGTCCTCTGGCTGCTAGCAGATTGTCCAGCCGGATGGCCATGTCCACCTGTTGGGAGAACGATAGCATGGCATCCCGGCAGGCTAGCTCCCATCGGACGTCCTCCCTTAGGTGGCACCGGAAATGGTCTATCAGGGCCCGCTTGTTCCACCCGGACCCCGCTGCCAGCGTCCGGAACTCCAGTGCGTAGTCCTGAGCGGTCCTCATCCCCTGCCTTAGATGAACCAGTCGTTCGCCCGCCTCTCGACCCTCAGGCGTGTGATCAAAAACGGCCCGAAAGAGGCGAGCAAACTCCCTGTAGTTCTCCAACATGGTACCTCCCTCGTTCCATACCGCGTTGGCCCACTCCAGGGCTCTCCCACAAAGGCAGGAAACGAGGACGGATACCTTCTCCTGCTCCCGGGGCTCAGCCTGATGCTGGAGAAATACAACTTCAGTTGGAGTAGGAATCCCTTACATCGCGCTGCAGTCCCGTCAAACGCCGGTGGCCTGGATATCTGGATCCCTCCAGGGGCTGGGGTGTAGGTGGCTGGATCCGGTTGACCAGCTGGTCTCGATAGATCGGATCCTCTCATCTCCAGGTGTTCTACCACCTGAAGAACCCGATCCATCGCTTCCCCCAAGCTGGCCAACATTGAGGAATGCTCCTGGATCCTTGCCACAACTCCAGGCATGCAGTCTTCTCCTGCTGACTCCATATCAGATCAGGTGAGTGATTCTGTGACGAGGTGTGAAAGAAGGAGTCAGGCGCAGGAGGTAAAATACCGAAGTCCAGAGTTTAATCAGTTTGCATAAATCAAACGCTCCCAAGCGTCAAACAAAACTGTACAAGGGAAAACATCCACCTTGGCAATAACACAGTGAAATGTAGCTCAACCGAGCTACACGCTCTCACAACAAAACAATCACTCACAAAGACAAGGGGAACAGAGGGAACACTTATACACATACTAATTAGGGGAATGAGCACCAGGTGTGTGTGATTGACAAGACATGACAAGTGGAGTGATGAGAATGGGATCAGCAGTAGCTAGTACTCCGGTGACGACGAATGCCGAAGCCTGCCCGAACCAGGAGGGGGGGCAGCCTCGGCGGAAGTCGTGACAAGAGCGTACTACACTAATATCAGCTCAGTATAAACAACAATATACATCATCCCCTTTTGAGGTGGAGGCCCCAGGCCCCCAGCGCACCTTCAGAGTGGAGATGACCTCGTCAGCCACCTCTTTGACCACGACGGTGTAGCGGCTGGTCTCTGGGTTGATGATGCGTTCCTCCTTCTCCCAGCGTACCATGATGGGCTTCTCCCCGTGGGCCGTGCAGCTCATCTCCTTCTGCTGGCCCACCGTGGCCATGGTGGTGTTGGGGTATGACGTGATCATGGCCGGGACTGAGAGAAAGGGGGAGAAGAGAGAAAGAGAGAGAGTGACGCAGAAGTTGGAACTTTATGTAACTCAACAGAGGCTCATACATTCTCCTTTAACAATTCTCTATAAGTTCACAGACTTGCCTCTGCCACCCTAAAGCCTAATTCCCAACATCCTGGCTGACAACAGTCAACAATGGAGAAGCATGAACTCCTATTTAGATCGCCCTGATTCCCACAATACATTGAATACTAATGGTTCAAAAACAGGCCTTCAGGTAAGCAATATTGTCTCTGCTACAGCATCTTTGATACAGACAGCAACTGTTTACATGTTGTTACTGAGGCAGAGAGTCTCAGACAGAGACAGAGTGCTACAGAGCGGAGGAAAGCTGTGACTAGTCTGAACTCCCCGCTGTGTGTGTAGAGCTCGTCTGGCGTTACAGCACACCACGCTCATTAGCAGCGGCTCTGTGTGTGTGTGTGTGTGTGTGTGTGTGTGTGTGTGTGTGTGTGTGTGTGTGTGTGTGTATATTTGGGGAAATACCCCAGTCCAGCTATAAACTGCTGTCCTATACTACTGTACACACACAAACACAACAAAGTCCTGTACTGTCTCACATAGGTATGTGTATATCACAGTTACCTTGAAAGCCTTAATGATACAACCTGCTGTATTGATATATGTTACAAATGCTGCACATACTGTTGCTGATGTTTCAGAGAGGAATGGACTTCAAGGCAGACAAAATAATGTACTGTATATGAATGTGTATGTACATACGGTATGTCTACTGTACGTGTTTAACAAGATCATACATACAGTACATCCTACTGGCTTAGACAATGGGATAAGTCTGGAGGCTGGTGCTGTAGCCATTCTCCTCTGTCTGTCTCTGTGCATGAGTGTGTGTGTGTGTAAAAGGAGTTGTTTCTCCAGGAGCTAAGTGGGTAGTACGAGCAGAGAGGACTCGTGACACGTCTCAGAAACACTGTCTGAGAGCATGTTCCCCTGCAGCAGTGTAACTGTGATCTCTCTCCTCTCTCTCCTATCCCACCAGGACGGCTATGATTTAATGATGAGAGCCCACTTTGATTATTCATACACAGCAGACAAGACTACTCCTCTGGCCCCACTGCTGTCTCACTACCTCTCCACACACACACATTCAGAGCCTCGACCTCTCCGCTGCCTTCTACACACACAGTCACACACCAACACAAGAAGGCAACACTCATACACAGAACACACACACACACACACCCCCACACAAATTCAGAAAAACAGAGAAACACATGCAGCAAAAACAAACCACACATAATCCCAGGTGACACACTCTCTCCATCTCCTTCGTTCTCTCTCTCTCTCTCTGAGTGCACCGCCCCATTTGAGGTTCTCGTGCAGAGGGGTGTGTGTGTGTGTGTAGGAGGGGGTGCGGCTCCGCTAGCTGAAAGCCCCTCTCTGACATAATTGAATGTGTCAGACTAAGGTCTGCCAACGTTTAAGCCTCATCTCTTATTCACTCTCAAGCTATGCCAAAGAACGCTGATTTATTTAGCGTGACAACTATGAATTTTAAGTGAGGCACATTAAAAAATCCTCCTCAGCCCTTCTCTAAATGTTATTGCTCCTTAACAGGGGTAGTTTCTCCGTACATCTGAGGCAGCAGGCAGTGCCGTGGCGGGCGGCGTCAGCAGGAGACCTGCCTGATGTTCTTTTACTCCTGCCCCCGCGAGACGGAGGGCATGCATTGATGAGCGCTCCGCCTTTGAGGAGAGGAGGGAAGAGGGGGGAGTCAGAGGAAAGAAGAATCCTTGTTCTGACGTGCCTTTCAAACAACACAGGCAAACGATCTGCTATTGTTATCACACGCGTAGCTCTGGCACATAACCCAGCTCCACCACTGTGTGATCAGCACAGTTCCACATGATTAAATTGCAGGGAAATGTCTGCTGTGGCTGTCTGTTAAAGCTACAGAGACTGTCTGCTCTGTGCTGTCATGGCGTCATACTCAGTTTGCTGTGACACTCCCAATACTGCTACAGTAAAGGCCTCAGGTGTCAAAGATGACCGAGAACAAACAGGCAGCTCAAGGTGTTCTCCAACTTAAAACATCCTCACAACAACCTGAGACTTGTTAAAGAAGGTTGTGGAGACAACAAAAGTCTACTCTCAGCCAGACTCCTTGCTACATTCACCACACAGCCCTCAGTAGCCCCCCAGGCTACCCTTATTATTTTTGATAGCCCATAATTGCTTGGTTGATGTATACTTTTTAATATCCAGTGATGTTACAGAGCCTGGTAAGGGGAGAGAGTGAGTGAGTGAGTGAGTGAGAGAGAGAGAGAGAGAGAGAGAGAGAGAGAGAGAGAGAGAGAGAGAGAGAGAGAGAGAGAGAGAGAGAGAGAGAGAGAGAGAGAGAGAAAGAGAGAGAGAGCGAGTGAGACAGAGAGAGGGAGGAGGTTTCTATTCCTATCTGTCTGTCAGATCCCAGTCAGGGCTGGCTGTGTGTCAGTGGCAGAGGGAGACTGAGGGGGAGGTTGCCATCTTGGATGGAGATGCACTACAACTGACTAAGTATACAATCATCCAGTAGCATTATTAAAAGGTGTGACTTGCAATAAATGCCAGTCTTGAAATTGTGCATGATGAACAGACCATTATAGAGTTTAATTTTGGTAAAGGGAAATCCAAAAAACATTGGTATATCAAATAAAATGAAAACATCTTACTGCAGGATTTCTAGTTGGCTAATGTGTACACACTTTGAGGAAAATGTGTTATCTGCACAGCATGAGTAAAATCGTGTTATCTTTTGATCTGTACCCCTTCTCTGTAGAAGAGAGGGACTGAAAATAAGGAACACCACATGCAAATAGCTGTTCCCCTGTGCCCTTACTTAGTCTGTCTCTAACTGAAGTATTGACAGGTTTAAATGAAGCAGAAACGCACTAAAGAGCTTCAGCGGCCATTGACACACACACGCATGCACACATGCACACACACACACACAGGATAGTTAGGAGAGGGGTGGCAGGCAGCAGTGCATACTGAAACACTAATGGTCTTCCTTTTCAATCCACTCAAGCGAATAAGTACACTTTTACAGAAAGCATCTTGAGTGCACAGTTCAGGGGTTATAAGGCATGAAATGTGATATTATGATGAGTGACAAGAGTACAGCTGTACCATCATGTAATGACAGCTTCCAACCCCCCAGTAGCAACATGGATACCACTAACAAAAGCCCCAAAGACATCACAACTCTGGGCTTTTTGGATAATAAGAATTTTCCCCTCTCCAAGATGTCGATCATCATTAACTTAAAATAGTCTTGAGAGATTTGAGTAAAACTAAACAGGAAATGAGAGTAGGCTATAGGAGAGAATGAGCAGGAATCTATAAAGTAGGGAATCTATACAGTATGCTACACAGAGACACAGTGGGTACCCTTTACAATTAGTGTTACTGTAACAGCACTAAATCTCCCTCCATCTTCTTGATTAAGCTTTTGAAGACTTACTGAATCTGGTGATAAGGAGCTCTCCACCTAACTCCTCCATCCTGACCTACAGTACAGTACAATGTAGCCAGCTCACACATACACACACTTAGGGTACGCTATGAAACGCTATGAGACTGATACATTAAAAGCAAATCTCTTGCTCTCCCCTCCTCCCCCTGTACATTCCCAATGATATCGTGTTTCCTGGGGCATGCTGGTCTCAGTGTCATGGCGGAGGCTGATCTGGGGCTGAGGCTGGGGCGACGGCGCTGTGTGAGGATAATACGCTTCAACCCTCATTTCATCATCTCCTATCCTCGCCGGGCATCCTGGGAAAGTAGGCCACCACGCCACGCAATGCCTCACTGAGCCATACCTCCCAACAACACACACACACACACACACAATTAAATGCATATAGCCTACAATACACTCACACACGCAGATTTACAGTACACACGCACACACACACACACACACACACACAAACAATCCTCAGGCCGGCCCAGCGTTCTTCTCACAGGCCATACACTACAGGGATGACTGCTTGAGTGGAGCCACCCTAATGCCCTGTTCTCCTGCACAATTACTCTCTCACATTCACTCACCACCACACTGCCACAGAACGCTGAGATGACAACAGGAGAAAAATACCTCCTGGGAAAAGAAGGCAGAGAGGAGAGGAAGATACTTTCTTGTGTCTGGAAGCATCTTGCTGTTGTTGGGCCTGGCTACGGTGTACAGCCAACTGTCTGTCAGTGATAATTAGGCATTAACCAACTGCATAGCTACTGTTTCTGGCATGCTGACCAATGACCTGTGTGCTAATGTGAAAAAATGAATGGTGCCTGGGCCCGGCCAGTTGCTGATTGGCTGTGTAAATGTGCTGTCTCTAGGAGGGCTGAGAGTCAGTGTCACCACAGGTCCAGCCGCTGCATGGCAACCATGGCCTCCAGTGAGCTAATGTACTGATGGAAACACAGAGTGCTATATAAGCACTTCCATGTTAGCCTCATGAACAATGACAAGCTCATACTGTACAGTACACTGGGTGGGGTAGGCCAGGGCATCGTAGCCATGCTGGCTAGCATACAGCCACTGTCTGTTGCATATTCTCAGTGTCTTAGCCACACCATGATCAGAGACTCTGTCTGTCTAAATAGATTGTTCATGCTTGTTTGCACAAATCAGAGTAAGTATATGAAATGCAAAGGTATGGAATGGATCTTAAGAGTCTGTGCACGTCTGTGTGTATTGATGGTGCACGTCTATGTGTATGTAGCTTAGTGGGTAAGAGCGTTGTGCCAGTAACCGAAAGGTCGCTGGTTGTAATCCCCGAGCCGACTAGGTGAAAAATCTGTCGATGTGCCCTTAAGCAAGGCACTTAACCCTAATTGCTCCTGTAAGTCGCTCTGGATAAGAGCGTCTGCTAAATGACTAAAATGTAAATGTAAATGTAAATATGTATGGTTACTGATCAAATCAAATCAAATTTTATTTGTCACATGCGCCAAATACAACAGGTGTAGACCTTACAGTGAAATGCTTACTTACAAGCCCTTAACCAACAATGCAGTTTTAAGAAAATAAGTGTTAAGTAAAAAATTGATAACTAAAAACTAAAAAATAATTAAAGAGCAGCAGTAAAATAAAAGTAGGGAGGCTGTATACAGGGGGTACCGGTACAGAGTCAATGTGTGGGGGCACAGGTTAGTCAAGGTATTTGAGGTAAGATGTACATGTGGGTAGAGTTAAAGTGACTATGCATAGATAATACTGCAACAGCTTGACAGCCTGCAACAGCCTGCAACAGCTTGATAAGAACAGCAACAGAAAATAAGCTCTACTCAAATCTGTGCACCATCAAATGATAATACTTCCCCCACACAGCGAAGCCAGACTGGCAGTGCCAGGAGACTGGTGACCCGGTCATTAACATACTCCACATGCTGCAGCCAAACCAATCAACACAGCAGAGAGACACACACCACAAACTGTCTGGACTCCAATATAAAACCATGTCATGTCCTTGTTTCAGTATGTCATGACTCATTACTCAGACTGTATCTGTTTCAACTGTGTGATGATTCAATGTACAGTTACTACAGTAGCCTGCCTATAGGCCATCTGAGCAATGACCATGGCCCAGGCCTTGGTTCTGTCTCAGGTTGGTTTTATAACCAGAAAGTGATTAGTGATGCTACAGTTACATTAGGCTGCTGCTGGTACTGATTTAAATATACCTGGCAAGGAAGGCCCTCTCCCCCTTGTGAGTTACACATGATGTCTACAAGGCTATAGGAGAACACTGTAATACAAATCAATACGCAGCCAGGGACAGGGCTGATACCAGAAGATAACATATAGGGTGGTACAAGACATTTCTGTGACTTCAGGGAAATACAGATTGAGAGATGGCATACTGGTGACCTTATGAAGGTGCTATATGTCATTTCAAATGCGATGTAGGACAAGTAGGGCAACAGTATAATTATCAGAAAGACAGACAGACAGAGAGAGAGAGAGAGAGAGAGAGAGAGAGAGAGAGAGAGAACGAGAAAGAGTGAGATAGAGAAAGCAGGCCAGAGAAAGAGAGAGCAGGCCAGAGAAAGAGAGAGCAGGCCAGAGAAAGAGAGAGCAGGCCAGAGAAAGAGAGAGCACAGTGGAGCTCTTTTCCACATGGCAGACTCCGCTTGAATGAAGAGTTCAGCGTGTAATGGAGGGGACATAAGTCCTTAGCTGCTAAACATAAAAACACCCGGTTACACACACACACCACATACACACCACATACACCCCCCCCCCCCCCCCCCCCCCCAAACAGAGTTAATCTAATAAGGAGTCATAAAGAAACGTTACAGTGGTTTTGGAGTCTTACTTTTGACGGTGAGGTACATGGACTTGCTGACGTCAGCTCCCACATCGTTGCTGACCTTACACAGGTAGTAGCCGCTGTCCTCCTCCAGCACGTGTTTGATGAGCAGAGAGCCGTTGACCAGCAGCTGGATACGGGAGCCAGAGTTCAGGGCGATGGACTGGAACTGGGGAACCCCGTTACCTGGGGAGGAGACAGGAGGGACGGGGCCATGAGTCACGTTTAGCACCTTTCAAAAATCCCCATCATAAACATTTTGAACGTATTTGTAAAGGACCTGTAAGTCTACAACATACTCTAATCCTTAAATCGGAACCATTGTATTTTTGGCATAAGCAATGTCAGGTTAATAGCACATGGGGGTGGTGTTCTACAATTTGCTCTTACTAATTTAAACTCAAAGCTACTACTGTTTTTGTTTTTAATGCTCAAAAGTACAGACTATTTACAGATGCGCATCCTTATTCGACTTGTACAGTGTGTGTAACGCTTCAGTGACAAAGCTTTAGGGATTTAAGGACAGTAAACATGCATCTTAACGCTGCCCCTAAACCTCAGCAGCTGTTATGGAGAACGTAGCCACTAAAATGAGGTAATCATTAAAGAGATGGTGCCCATGTTCAACACCAGAGCAGATTGCGGAGGAAGAAAACAACAAGACTGCAATGTGTCAGCCAACAAAGGAATCAGCCAATGAAATGCAGAGCAGTTTCCTTTACACAGCAAATAACTTTTATTTTCCTTTGTTTTTACATGTGAGGATTTATCTATTCACTGACTCTCAGGATTTGCTGTCTGTAAGCCATGTTTGGTATCTTGTGAACAACACTGTACTTGTAAGCATTTACATTTACAAATCTGAACATCAAAGACTGAAACATTAATTGTACATATATTTTTGGGTAAATAAAACCTAATCCCCAAAGCATCGGTTTTGTCTTGTTGAAACACAAATATTAGTATTAGTATGTAAATGCTTTTGTAGGTCAAATATTCTTCAATTGTTGGGCACATCTCTCTGTTGGTGAAGTATACTTCAGCATACTAGCATACAGCATTATACTTTTCACATATCAGGGAACAAATATATGTTCTATAATCATCCATGTTTCTGGTAATGTTGGACAGTCTCATTCAAAAAGGTCTAAATTACTTCAGTAGTGTAGGAAATGTCTAATGCTGAAAATGTTCAGGTCAACGAGTTGCCTGGGAATGGAAATCCACTCAGAGCTGTAAGTGGTCTACCTATGTTACAGTAACAGCAACACATCCAGGCTCGCTCATAGAGTATTAAACGTATGTCTGAACTGGGCCAGATATTAGCATGCGCTAAAGTTAGCGTGTAAAGATAAGGACATTCAGTGAGCTGTGGGTTTTGGTCCTTAATTAAAAATGCAATCAAGTGCTTCTGGTTAGCGAGGGGTCAAGTGGCAGTACTATTTCCACTCTGCTGCCTTGTAGATGAGAGACAGAGAGAGAGCGAGAGAGAAAGAAAGAGAGAGAGAAAGAGAGAGAAAGAGAGAGAGAGAAAGAGAGAGAGAGAGAGACGTGCTCTTGAATGATGGATTTTGCATAGCAGTTATGCTAATACCAGCTGACCTTTCCTTCTTCACTGTTCTATCTCTCTGTGGCTCTGCTCCGCTAGCACCTGACTGGGAGAATAAAAAACATCTCCAGTGCCACAACATACAGCAACACAGACACCTGCACTTACAAATTAGAGGTAAATCTCAGATAAAGGTGCTGGCTGAGTCTTCACTCTGCCATCGCCGTGGCGAAGGACCAAGGTTCTGTCAGACCTTATTAATCAGCCAGGGGGTCTAAGACATTGAGGAGCGTCTCTCTCAAATCAAACCCAATCTTCTCTTGGTCCCAGGGAGCCCAAGTCACAAACAAATCCCATCAAAGCCTGGCTGCTGTGTCTGGCCCTGACCAATGCCTTTGATGCCCCTCACACTGCCCCCCACGCTACCGCATTGGTTGGATTGGTTGTTGTCTCTCCATTGGGGGAAGCTTTCATCCCTGGTTATGGATGAAGCAGCAAACACCTGGGTCCCCTCTTCAGCTATCCAGGTCAAGTGCTGTGCCACTTTGTTCACCTTCTCTCTCACGCCTCACTGGTAGCTCCCCCACCTCACAACCCACAGTGGCTGTACACCTGCGACCTGTGAAAGTGTGTGTGTACACCTGCAGTTGTTGAACCACATCATACATGGGCTATGGATGAAACAGATAATACCCATATGCCTTCAACTACAACTACAGTTACTCCCTCCAAAACAGCTGCCGTTACATCCCTAAACAATGTCCATTAATACGTTTGTATAACCATTTCATTAATGCTACCGACAGTCTTCTGATGCTTGATTTCCGTATCTGTTTACCTTTGGAGTGCTTCCATACGAGGGTGGGGCGTGGATAACCCTCAGCAGAGCAGTTGAGGGTCACAGTTTTGCCATAAATCCCATCCTGGTCTGTGGGCTGCACCACAAACTGGGGAGGAACTGGAGGAGCAGAGGGAACCACACACAGACTGACTTACTAGTACTTCTGAGACAGAAAGATAGTAGGAGAGAGATTAAGATTGAGAAAAAGAGTGCAGTGGAGAGAAATACACAGTATAAAGACAGATGAGAAGCAAAGAGAGAGGAGCAGAGAAAGAAACAGAGAGAGAAAGAAAGACAGTAAGAGTTAGGGAGTGAGAGGACGGAGCCTAAGAGAGATACATCTAGAAGCAGTGACAGAGACAGAGGAACAATGTGTTAGCCTCCTCTCACCCCTGACAATGAGCTGACTCTGGTGCTCAACGGCTGCAGCCTCGTTGCGTGCGATGCAGGTGTAGTTTCCGTTGTGGTCTGGGGACAGGTTGGAGATCCGCAGCGAGCTGGTGAACTCTATGTTGTCAATGGTGACCCCCAGACTGGCAGGGATTGGCCGCCCGTCCTTCTGCCAGGTGATGTCCAGGGGCTGGTCACCTGACATTACCACGCAGGGGATGAAGACGCGCTGACCAATGGAGAACCGCTGGAATGCAAAGGGCTGGATGTACGGTGGAACTGGAGAGGAAGAGATGACCATAACCACATTGGGCTGAGAGACAATACACTATACCGGTACAATCTCCTGTGTGTCATACTTCAATCAATCCCTTTGGTCATTGGAAATCGTTGACTCTGAACTCAAAAGGACTGAGAGTGAATCATCACGTAATTCCACCTTAGTCATTCCTTCAGTCTAGCCGAACATTCTGTACTCTGAGTCGGAGCAAACAGTACAATGCACAGGTGTACTATTCCAGAAACACTTGAAGGGGTGATTCTGTATTTATAGAAAGAGAAGATCAAAGAAAACCTAACGACCCTCAAGTAGGGAAAAACCACCATGTTAAACAAATGAATGGAGAATCAGGCCCCATGCTAGACTAGATAACGACCTAGATGTGAGATCCTCCTCAGTAAATCCACTGTCACACCTTCTCAGGGGACTCTCCATCTCGCAAGTCAGCCGCATTTGAGAATCAACGAGTTAAAATAACATTGAAATAAGCAGCACTTCAGCGCTGATTTAATTCACAACAAAGTAGGGATAATGGACTCCTGGGATCTCCCCAGCCGCTTTCAGAATTTTAAGCATGAGCAGAGCAAATTAACTAACGTACTTGTAGTGGGGAAGTGTTGCTTTATATCATGTGGTCCCCCTTTTCCCCACCCCATCCCAGCCTCATCTCATGGAAATGTCTTAAGCAGCGGCTGCATCATTCATGACATGGATATGAGGCATGTGGAATCACTCGTTAACATTCCCATTACGTATTCTTGGGCCTCTGGTAATCAAGCTCAATCGCTACTGTATGTGCAGTCATACTAATGACCCTAGCTTAGTCTCACATCCCATAGCAGTGCAGTCGTAGCAGTGGTGAATGTCAGGCAGTGTTACTGTAGCTTATGGTGCACAATGTGATGTGATGGCCCTGGCCAATGGGAGTATGACCTGCAAGGTCACTTCCTATCTCTGCCTACAGCTTTGCCATGTTCTACTGTCCACACACGAATGCTTATGTATCACATGGGAATGTGTGAAACTTACTCCTCAGCCTGAAGTGTCCCCACTTGCGCCAGTGAATAGCTAGCTTTTCATGTGGTGCTGACTGGTAAGACACTTCAGAAGGGTGGTCACGTGTGCTAGCAAGGCAGAGGTCCGGAGTTTGCGCCAGGTATGGGCCAAATTGGGAGAAAGTGGTACTCACTAAGCAAGCAGCATGACGTCCTTTACACTTACCCAAGTGTGGTATGCTAGTGTGGAGAACAGATCCCTTGTTTATTGTGTACTGTCACAGTGCATGAGTTAGGGAGACAGGCTCTTCCTACCTTTGACACTGAGATGGACACTCTGATTGGTCTCTTGGTGAGGTTTGACCAATACCCTGCAGTTATACTCTCCCTGGTCCAGCTCCTGCACGTTGGACAGCTTCAGAGTGCCGTTGTTCTCAAAGGCCCGCTGCCGGTGGTTGAAGGGGAGCAGGTGGGAGTTCTTATACCACTTGATGGAATAGTACGGGTAGCCAATAACGCGACAGTGGACGTACGCGTCCCGCCCTGCGATGGCCGTGATGTTTTTCATTGGACGAATGCTGGCAGCACCTAAAAATACAGAGAGGGAGAGAGAGCTCTCTATAAACACATTTATGGGTGAGGGGATTGTGACATGACAGTCAGCAACATCAAGCCGTATGTATTGACAGCACACCCAAATGTGTTCGTTTTTACCACAGGACCTCATGGTAGACTCTGAAGAGAGGGCTGTGAAATCAGGACCATATTAGACAAGGACAAGGTAGGGTTGGCTGACAGCTGAAAGACAGAACATTTTAGTGGACAATATTCACTGTATAATTATCTGCATTACAAATCCAAGAGCCACTTGAAACTAATTGTCTCATCTGAATAAATAAACTCTACATTCAACAACCACAAAATAAGTAAAAAACGAACTAAGGAAACAAGAGAGAGAACTATATTCCCTTTTGCAGTCTAAAGATAAAACCACCACCAGCCTCGAAACACGCAGTACAAAGTTGACCTATGTGACGCTCAACAGTTGTACCTACAGTATACACCACACTGGGCTGAAAACCTGCCTGTCAGTAAGGCCTACAAAGAAAATAATAATAAATTGGTCAATTGTGTTCAAACATCTACACATGGAACAGGAGTGCAAATCAGCTGAAGGGAATCATCTCAGCAACAGTGATCTGGGTAGAGGATCAGATTACTATTAAAGACAGGAAGAGAGATACTACATCCAACAAATGAGACACAATCAATAGAACAGATATGTTATGGATGGATCATACATACACATAAACGCAAACTAACAAAACATGGGTGGTTGTGACCTGGCATTGTAATTGACAGTATGAGTGACTGACATGCAAACAGGCCAACAAGATATGGGCGACTAGAAATAGCATAGTGTTAGGATAGAAAAGGTAAAAGTATCACAATCAGTATCACTGCAGTATCACAATCACACAAAGAGCATAGAGGGACGATGTGACAAGAGAGATTCACACAGGGATAAAAAAACAGTGGAAAAAATGAACGGAAGCTAAATGGAGTCCAAAAGCTGCAACTGAGGAATAAAGGGAGGGAAGAGAAAGGAAGGAAGAAAGAAAGAAAGAAAGTAAGAAAGGTTAGGAATCTGTAGGCACTTTGCAAAGGAGGGAGAATACAACAAAAACCTAAAAGAAACAGGTATTGAACTTGGAAACCAAACAAACATGAGTTAGGTGTATGTTTTTGTTGTTTTGGAGGAGCTGATCTGACAAGCACCTCTTACGTTTATTCGAGCCTGGTGGTAGACCGCCCCGGCCGAGTTCCTGCAGGTGCAGCGGTACACCCCTCCGTCCACCTCCTTGGTGTGGGTGATGTTCAGCTGGTTGACCACGTGGCCCTCGTGGGTCTCGTAGTGGCCGGGGTGGTGGTGGCTGTCCTTGATGACCGGGTCGTCGTCCAGGTTCCAGGTGCAGGAGGGAGGGGGAGTGCCTTTGACGTTACACACCAGGAAGACCGGCTCGTTGGGGTTGACCACCTTCTCACTGAAGGAGGACAGAATCTTCGGAGTTCCGTCTGAAAGGGGAAAGAGAGGGATACCATGGGTAATGGTTAATAGGACTACAGTGGGAGGCTTGGACAGAAAAGGCTTGGACAGACAAATCTCTGCATCATGTATTGTATGGACACTGTAAACATGTATTCTATACTGACATTAGAGTCAGCTAAGGTATCGCTCACATAATAAAATATAAATAATTCCCTACAAGTGTGACAATTGTGTGCAACACAAAACCAAAAAAAATCATAATGAACAAAAGCAGCAATATAATATCTATCCTCTGTCACTAAAAGCTGTACATCTACCTTTTTTCTTTGTCTCCCATTATTGGGGGCAGTCTTGGCCAAATATAAAAATAGCTTTATTTTAGAGTGTCCTGCTGTTGCTCTCTGATAACCCTGGCATGTTCTACATCATTATAGATGATCAATATCCTCCTTATACAGTTCCGTGGCCACGCGAGACAGTTGCCCAAGCAACCAGGCTCAGGTAAGCAGTTTAAAGCTGACTAGGACAGTAGCCCTAATAACAGCAGCACAACACAACGCATTAACACAGGCCCTGCATCGATCCAGGGCCAAAATCCCTTTCTGCTAAGTCACTGCTGCTGCTACTACACATACATGGACACAGAACATACACACAACCAGTGGCGCAACTTCCACTGAGGACGGGGGGGTTTTATCATTGGAATGTGATACAAAACAAGGCAACGGTGTGCTTTCGGACCATGTGGATGCCTCCAAGTGGTCGGGTAGGCTGTCTGGAGTGTTTGTCTGACTGGATAAAAAATGTATATATATACACACACACCAGTCAAAAGTTTGGACACACCTACTCATTCAAGGATCTTCCTTTATTTTTACTATTTTTTACATTGTAGAATAATAGTGAAGACATCAATACTATGATATAACACATATGGAATCATGTAGTAACCAAAACAGTGTTAAACAAATCAAAATGTATTTTAGATTTTAGATTCTTCAAAGTAGCCACCCTTTGCCTTGATGACAGCTTTGTACACTCTTGGCATTCTCTCAACCAGCTTCACCTGGAATGCTTTTCCGACAGTCTTGAAGGAGTTCCCACATATGCTGAGCACTTGTTGGCTGCTTTTCCTTTACTCTGCGGTCCAACTCATCCCAAACAATCTCAATTGGGTTGAGGTCGGGTGATTGTGGAGACCAGGTCATCTGATGCAGCACTCCATCACTCTCCTTCTTGGTCAAATAGCCCTTACACAGCCTGGAGGTGTGTTGGGTCATTGTCCTGTTGAAAAACAAAATGATAGTCCCACTAAGTGCAAACCAGATGGGATGGCGTATCGCTGCAGAATGCTGTGGTAGCCATGCTGGTTAAGTGTGCCTTGAATTCTAAATAAATCACTGACAGTGTCACCAGCGAAGCACCCCCACACCTCCTCCTTCTACATGCTTCACGGTGGGAACCACACATGCGGAGATAATCCATTCACCTACTCTGCGTCTCACAAAGACACGGCGATTGGAACCCAAAATCTCCAATTTGGACTCATCAGACCAAAGGACAGATTTCCACCAGTCTAACGTCCATTGCTCACGTTTCTTGTCCCAAGCAAGTCTCTTCTTCTTATTGGTGTCCTTTAGTAGTGGTTTCTTTGCAGCAATTCGTCCATGAAGGCCTGATTCACGTAGTCTCCTCTGAACAGTTGATGTTGAGATGTGTCTGTTACTTGAACTCTCAGAAGCATTTATTTAGGTTGCAATTTCTGAGGCTGGTAACTCTAATGAACTTATCCTTTGCAGCAGAGGTAACTCTGGGTCTTCTTTTCCTGTGGCGGTCCTCATGAGAGACAGTTTCATCATAGCGCTTGATGGTTTTTGCGACTGCACTTGAAGAAACTTTCAAAGTTCTTGACATTTTCCGATTGACTGACCTTCATGTCTTAAAGTAATGATGGACTGTCGTTTCTCTTTGCTTATTTGAGCTGTTCTTGCCATAATATGGACTTGGTCTTTTACCAAATAGGGCTATCTTCTGTATACCACCCCTACCTTGTCACAACACAACTGATTGGCTCAAACGCATTAAGAAGGAAAGAAATTCCACAAATTAACTTTTAACAAGGCACACCTGTTAATTGAAATGCATTCCAGGTGACTACCTCATGAAGCTGGTTGAGAGAATGCCAAGAGTGTGCAAAGCTGTCATCAAGGCAAAGGGTGGCTACTTTGAAGAGTCTCAAATCTAAAATATATTTTGATTTGTTTAACACTTTTTTGGTTACTACATGATTCCATATGTTATTTCATAGTTTTGATGTCTTCACTATTATTCTACAATGTACAAACCTTTGACTGGTACTGTATATATATATATATATATATTATAATAATTATGTCACCCCCACTTCTAAAACCAAAGTTGCGCCCCTGCACACAACATAAAACCGTAAACACTCATGCTATAGTCAACTGCCAAGTGGTACAGTACACATGAAAAAAAAAACACATGGTGATATATTCTAACCAATGTCTTGTTACAACAACACCAATATATCCAATAACTGCCATAGCAACATTGATCTTTATAAGAAACCTCTACTGTATCTCACCCTCCAAGATGACCTGAACAAAATCCTGAGCAGACATTTTGTTATTCCTGGCAAAACATTGGTAGGCCCCGCCGTCGCTCTTGGCCATGCCCTCCATGATCAGGTTCTCCCTGCTGATGCCTGTGATCCGCACATTGTTGCCGGGGTAGATGATCTCTCCGTTACGGTACCACGACAGCTCATACTCATCAGAGCCACTGACACTGCAATGCAAGGACACCTTACTACCCACGCTGCCCTTCACCTTTCGTGGGCTGACCACCGCCTTCAGGGGCTCTGGACACCAGAGAAAACACAGAACACACATCAAAAATCCCAAACCAAACTGGTGGCCTATGAAATTGTTATACCGTGAAACAAATATTTTGTTGTGTGAACATTATCAAAGAAATAGAGCTATAGCAACTAATGCAGAAACAACATGGCCCCAGGCTGGGATAGCTCCTGATGTGTGAGTGTGATGTGGTGTTTGGACTCACGTTTGACCAGCAGCCGGCCCACCACCTCAGCGTTGCCATAGCTGTTCCACACCTCACACACGTAGATGCCAGAGTCGGTGGGCTGGGCGCTCTCTATCAGCAAGCCCGTGACACTCTGGCGAAAACGTGTGTCGGGCTCCAGGGGGCTGTTGTCCTTCAGCCAGCGGTACTTGGGCATGGGATGGCCTGACGCCTTACAGGGCAGCTCTACCCGATGGGACGCCATGACCTCGCGGCGGTCAAAGCCATCCAGAATCCCCGGCTCTGAGTTAGTGGGATCTTATGAAAGATAAGAGAGAGAAGATGTTATGATAATAATAGAGTTCACTATTAGAAGAGATAGTGTTACGATAGCATTCACTGTGTAATGGACTTTGTATTACTGCAACATGATGTACTGTACAGAAATCTAGATGTTTCTGGGTGACCATTATTTAGGGTATTTAGGACAGCATAGACTGACCTGACACAAAAAGCCGGGCGCTGTTGCTTTGCCTGGTCTCGCCCGTGTAGCGATGCCGTGTGGTGCAGCGGTAGTTATACAATCCATCCTCATTCTGGACATCCAGAATATACAAGGCTCCCGTGGTTGTGATGAGAAATCTAGGTCCTAGAAGAGAAAAAGAGAGAGAAAAAGAGGAGGGGTTATTCACATAAAAGAAATACATGAGGTCATCTGGCCATTCAGCTCAATAGGAAGCTACTGTAGTACGCCATCCAGCTGGAAAAGACACCCGGTCCCGCATAATCCATGGCATTCACAAACAGTACTGAATGATCTATTTTATACAGTATACACTATACTGCATTCGGAAAGTACTCTGAGCCCTTTTCCACAGTTACGTTACAGCCTTATTCTAAAATGAATTAAATAAATAACAATCCTCCTCAATCTACACACAATACCCCATAATGACAAAGAGAAAACAGGTTTGCAGAAATGTTTGTAAAGCTATTAAAAATAAAAACAGAAATACCTTATTTACATAAGTATTCAGACCCTTTGCTATGAGACTAGAAATTAAGATCAGGTGCATCCTGTTTCCATTGATCATTCTTGAGATGTTTATACAACTTGATTGGAGTCCACCTGTGGTAAATTCAATTGATTGGACATCATTTGGAAAGGCACACACCTGTCTATATAAGGTCCCACAGTTGACAGTGCATGTCAGAGCAAAAACCAAGCAATGAGGTAGAAGGAATTATCTGTAGAGCTCTGAGACAGGATTGTGTCGAGGCACAGATCTGGGAAAGAGTACCAAAACATTTCTGTAGCATTGAAGGTCCCCAAGAACACAGTGGCCTCCATCATTCTTAAATGGAAGAAGTTTGGAACCACCAAGAACTGGCCGCCTGGCTAAACTGAGCAATCGGGGGAGAAGGGCCTTGGTCAGGGAGGTGACCAAGAACCCAATGGTCACTCTGATAGAGCTCCAGAGTTCCTCTGTGGAGATGGGAGAACCTTCCAGAAGAACAACCATATCCGCAGCACTCCACCAATCACACCTTTATGGTAGAGTGGCCAGACGGAAGCCACTCCTCAGTAAAAGGCACCTAAAGATTCAATGGTCTGATGAAACCAAGATTGAACTCTTTGGCCTGAATGCCAAGCATTACATCTGGAGGAAACATGGCACCATCCCTACTGTGAAGCATGGTGGTGGCAGCATCATGCTGCAGGGATGTTTATCAGCGGCAGGGACAGGGAGACTAGTCAGGATTGAGGGAGCAAAGTACAGAGAGATACTTGATGAAAACCTGCTCCAGAGTGCTCAGGACCTCAGACTGGGGCGAAGGTTCACCATCAAACAGGACAATGACCCTAAACATACAGCCAAGACAACGCAGGAGTGGCTTCGGGACAAGTCTCAGAATTTCCTTGAGTGGCCCAGCCAGAGCCCGGACTTGAACAGGATCGAACATCTCTGGAGATGTCACGATCGTCATAATGATTGGACCAAGGCGCAGCGTGATATGCGTACATCTTTTTAATAGTGTACTGGCAACACGATACAAAATACAAAACAACCAAACGAAACGTGAAGTCCTCGGTTAACAACACAAACCAACACGGAACAAGATCCCACAAAACACAAGTGCACAACAGGCTGCCTAAGTATGGTTCCCAATCAGAGACAACAAGCAACAGCTGATTCACGTTGCCTCTGATTGAGAACCACCCCGGCCAACATAGAAACACATAACCTAGAACAGAACATAGAAAACGAAACATAGACACTACACAAAGAAACTAACACCCTGGCTCAACATACAAGAGTCCCCAGAGCCAGGGCGTGACAGGAGAGACCTGAAAATAGCTGTGCAGCGACGCTCCCCATCCAACACAAACATTGGCAGTAGAATGGCCGTACTGAAGAGCTCAGTGACTTTCACCGTGGCACTGTCATAGGATGCCACCTTTCCAACAAGTCAGTTCGTCAAATTTCTGCCCTGCTAGAGTTGCCCTGGTCAACTGTAAGTGCTGTTATTGTGAAGTGGAAACCGCTAGGAGCAACAACGGCTCAGCCACAAAGTGGTAGGCCACACAAGCTCACAGAACGGGACCGCCGAGTGCTGAAGCACGTAGCGCGTAGAAATCATCTGTCCTCAGTGGCAAACTGCCTCTGGAAGCAACATCAGCACAACAACTGTTAGTCAGGAGCTTCATGAAATGGGTTTCCATGGCTGAGCAGCCGCACACAAGCCTAAGATCACCATGCGCAATGCCAAGCGTCGGCTGGAGTGGTGAAAAGCTCGCCGTCATTGGACTCTGGAGCAGAGGAATCACGCTTCACCATCTGGCAGTCCGATGGACGAATCTGGGTTTGGAAGATGCCAGGAGAACGCTACCTGCCCCAATGCATAGTGCCAACTGTAAAGTTTGGTGGAGGAGGAATAATGGTCTGGGGCTGTTTTTCATGGTTCGGGCTAGGCCCGTTAGTTCTAGTGATGGAAAATCTTAAAGCTACAGCATATAATGACATTCTAGACGATTCTGTGCTTCCAACTTTGTGGCAACAGTTTGGGGAAGGCCCTTTCCTGTTTCAACATGACAATACCCACGTACACAAAGCTAGATCCATAGACAAATGGTTTGTCGAGATCGGTGTGGAAGAACTTGACTAGCCTGCACAGAGCACTGATCTCAACCCCATCGAACACCTTTGGGATGAAATGGAACGCCGTCTGCGAACCAGGCCTAATTGCCCAACATCGGTGCCCGACCTCACTAATGTGCTTGTGGCTGAATGGAAGAAAGTCCCTGCAGCAATGTTCCAACATCTAGTGGAAAGCCTTCCCAGAAGAGTGGAAGCTGTTATACAGTGACTTGCGAAAGTATTCACCCCCCTTGGCATTTTTCCTATTTTGTTGCCTTACAACCTGGAATTAAAATGGATTTTTGGGGGGTTTGTATCATTTGATTTACACAACATGCCTACCACCCTGAAGATGCAAAATATGTTTTATTGTGAAACAAACAAGAAATAAGACAGAAAAACAGAAAACGTGCATAACTATTCACCCCCCCCCCCCCCCCCCCCCCCCAAAGTCAATACTTTGTAGAGCCACCTTTTACGCAATTACAGCTGCAAGTCTCTTGGGGTATGTCTCTATAAGCTTGGCACATCTAGCCATTGGGATTTTTGCCCATTCTTCAAGGCAAAAATGCTCACGCTCCTTCAAGTTGGATGGGTTCCGCTGGTGTACAGCAATCTTTAAGTCATACCACAAATTCTCAATTGGATTGAGGTCTGGGCATTGACTAGGCCATTCCAAGACATTTAAATGTTTCCCCTTAAACCACGCAGTATGCTTAGGGTCATTGTCCTGCTGGAAAGTGAACCTCCGTCCCAGTCTCAAATCTCTGGAAGACTGAAACAGGTTTCCCTCAAGTATTTCCCTGTATTTAGCGCCATCAATCATTCCTTCAATTCTGACCAGTTTCCCAGTCCCTGCCGATGGTGTTCTCGGGGTGATGAGAGGTGTTGGGTTTGCGCCAGACATAGCGTTTTCCTTGATGGCCAAAAAGCTCAATTTTAGTCTCATCTGACCAGAGTACCTTCTTCCATATGTTTGGGGAGTCTCCCACATGCCTTTTGGCGAACACCAAACGTGTTTGCTTATTTTTTTCTTTAAGCAATGGCTTTTTTCTGGCCACTCTTCCGTAAAGCCCAGCTCTGTGGAGTGTACGGCTTAAAGTAGTCCTATGGACAGATACTCCAATCTCCGCTGTGGAGCTTTGCAGCTCCTTCAGGGTTATCTTTGGTCTTTTTGTTGCCTCTCTGATTAATGCCCTCCTTGCCTGGTCCGTGAGTTTCGGTGGGCGGCCCTCTCTTGGCAGGTTTGTTGTGGTGCCATATTCTTTCCATTTTTTAATAATGGATTTAATGGTGCTCTGTGGGATGTTCAAAGTTTCTGATATTTTTTTATAACCCAACCCTGATCTGTACTTCTCCACAACTTTGTCCCTGACCTGTTTGGAGAGCTCATTGGTCTTCATGGTGCAGCTTGCTTGGTGGTGCCCCTTGCTTAGTGGTGTTGCAGACTCTGGGGCCTTTCAGAACAGGTGTATATATACTGAGATCATGTGACACTTAGATTGCACACAGGTGGACTTTATTTAACTAATTATGTGACTTCTGAAGGTAATTGGTTGCACCAGATCTTATTTAGGGGCTTCATAGGAAAGGGGGTGAATACATATGCACACACCAATTTTCCGTTATTTTTTTTTTTTAAACAAGTTATTTTTTTTCATTTCACTTCACCAATTTGGACTATTTTGTGTATGTCCATTACATGAAATCCAAATAAAAATCAATTTAAATTACAGGTTGTAATGCAACAAAATAGGAAAAACGCCAAGGGGGATGAATACTTTTGCAAGGCACTGTTGCAGCAAAGGGGGGACAAACTCCATATTAATGCCCATGATTTTGGAATGAGATGTTCCACGAGCAGGTGTCCACATGCTTTTGGTCATGTAGCGTATATCCTTAAACATATCATACCAAGACCTTTCACCTGTGATAACCTTTACATTTGACCTCTGCCCGCCCTAGCTCCAGTTATCTATATGGTCTGAACCTCTGCTACAGCAACCAAATCCTCTTTGGGTGTCACTAGAAGTTCAATCTGTGCAGTAATATTATGTTAATTCTGGGGATCAAACCCGACTGAGTGGGGTTGTCAACATTCATAAGGAATGATACCTTCCTCTCGCAATCATATGCATGCGTTATCCCCAGGAGAGCAGATTGATGTCAAAACTGATCGAAAAAGCAATTTACAGGAGATTGTCTTCACTGTGCTGTGGCGAGCATGCTAAGACAGAGACAGCTTAGTGAGCATTTAGGCCCCAAGGTACACCAGCCAGGGGCAGCTTCAGTTAAAACCAGCTACAGTATCAGGGCTGCGCCTTGTCTCTGACAACGAGGAGGATGTCTTTAGATAAAGCCTGATCAAAATAGACTGTAAAACGTCATGCTTACAGGCCCAATATGGCCTGAAATGTATAGAGAATCAATGACAAGTCAAGCATAGGAACAGTACCTGTGTTTTTTTGACAAAGTTATCAATTGGTAAAAAATACAATTGGATAAAGAAATTTTTAACCTGCATTTAATATGGGCATATTTAATCATTCATTCGACAGCTATTTTTATACAAATAAATAATTATAAATACAGTGCCTTCAGAAAGTATTCTGACCCTTGACTTTTTCCACATTTTGTTACGTTACAGCCGTATTCTAAAATGGATTAAATAAAAAAATATAATCAATCTACACACAATATACCATAATGACAAAGCAAAGCAGTTTTTAGAGATTTTAGCAAATGTATAAAAAAAAAAAAAAGGAAATACCTTATTTACATAAGTATTCAGACCCTTTTCTATTAGACTCGATAGAAACAATTTAATCCATTTTAGAATAAGGCTGTAACGTTTTAAAAAATGTGGAAAAAGTCAAGGGGTCTGAATACTTTCCAAATGCACTGAGTGGTAGTGAAAGGCAGTGAAAATAACAAGAGAGAGGAGAGGGAGAAAGAGTCTGCAGCTATTGTAAGCGTTGACCTAGTTAGAATAGACACCAGAGTCCATGGATTTGATATCCTGAAGGAGTTTCTAGTTCCTGGTTTAAATGCAGTTGGGTGAGATGGGCAACCAGAAGTGAGATCCGAAGAGGGAGAGAGGGAGGTGTGTGTGTGTGTGTTTGTGTGTGTGTGCACATATCCTTATCATTGCCAGGCGTTTTTTTAAAGTTTGAGGAGATCAGATACATCAATAATAACCCCTGAAGCAAAATTATATCTCTTTCATATTGATATTATAAATGATATGTATGATTTACTTCTTCAATATTTTCACGATACATTGTGCAATCAAATTGAAAATATAAAATTGTGAGTATTTGATATCACCAACATAGGCCAACAGCAATTATGTCTAGAAATCCTTTATTTTTTTCCTTTAGAGTTCTCCATTTTGATTCTGTCTTTGGTACCCTGCAATCTCACAGTGGAATCCATCTTGAGCGAGACAAAATTGTATTTCTCTCTAGCCGCTGAGCTGCCTGTGTTCTGCAGCAATTGTCTCCCCAAGCACCTCCATGCTCCTCCAGTGTCTTTTAAGCTGTCAGACCTCTGTTATTGTGTTATGACAGACTGAAGAGCAGGAAGAGTGGATGCTAGAGAGAAGACAGGGGCTCAGCAGACTGCAGCAGAAAATCAAAACGAAAGAAAATCTAATGTCTTTCTCTCTCCTATCTCGCTCTCCTTTCTATTGGTATTTCTCTCTCCTTGCCTCGGACTCCTTCTCGACCATCTGGCTTTTGATTTCACAGCACTCAGAGATATTCTGTCCCTGTTCTTCTATCAATGTTAGTCTGTAACAGATCCTCCAAACATACAGTACTCTTATACACCGAGTACTCTTCCACCGTTCTCCAGAAACACACAATCACCCTCACTTTGCCCCGAACTAAATCAAATTTCTCCCGACTCTCATACTTAGAATGCTAAATAAGGCACGACTTATAGATGAGAATGTGTATCCTCCTTTTTAAGGGGAGGGGGTTCTGGTTCTGGTGACTTAGACTGTGTTTCCCAGTTCAATAGAGAGACTATGGATGGGATAATTCTGGCCACGTGGCTTCCCACTGGGCACAGACGTCAATTCAATGTCTATTTGACGTTGAATTATATTTTTGACAACTTTGACTTTTTTTCACTACATTCCTAAAGAAAATAATGTACTTTTTACTCCATACATTTTCCCTGAAACCTAAAAGTACTCGTTACATTTTGAATGCTTAGTAGCACAGGGAAATGGTCCAATTCACACACTTATCAAGAGAATATCCCTGGTCATCCCTACTGCCTCTGATCTGGCGGACTCACTAAAGACAAATGCTTTATTTGTAAATTATGTCTGAGTGTTGGAGTGTGCCCCTGGCTATCCGTAAATTTAAAAAACAAGAAAATTGTGCCGTCTGGTTGGCTTAATATAAGGAATAAGAAATGATTGATACTTCTACTTTTGATACATAAGTATATTTTAGCAATTATATTTACTTTTGATACTTAAGTATATTAAAAACTAAATACTTTTAGACTTTTACTCAACTAGTATTTTACTGGGTGACTTTCACTAGAGTCATTTTCTATTAAGGTATCTTTACTTTTACTCAAGTGTGACAATTGAGTACTTTTCCACCACTGCGAGTGGCTTAGCTCTGATGTGGTATTGTATGGACATTGTACGGACAGGGATCTTGGCTCTACCTGCTCCTTCACACTCTCTCCTTGTCCTCCTGGACAGGGTGTTCTGTTCTGATGGCATGTTCTGAGTCTAATTGGTGGCTGCTCCAAGGTCAGAGGTGCACTGCGCCGTGCCGGGGATCTGATCTGATCTCTAATCTGGTCTGATTGAGGTCAGGTCACTGGGCTGCTGACCTCACCATGCAGGGACAGGAGCCAGGGAGCTCCTCTCCTCCTCAGTCTGTAGCGCTGCAGGGCGGCTGCATGGACACCCGGCTGGCTGACCACATGGCTCCATCATGGCTGTCAGTGTACGTAGGCTACATTCACCAACAGCCCAGTCCTCACACCCTGGACAATATAAAACACACTCTGCCCTCTCTCTGGACCTTCCTCTCCTTCAGCCACCTCTCAGTCCCTCTTTTCACTTTCTCCTCCTTCCCACCTCTTTCTGTCCTCTCTCTGTCCTCTCTCTGTCCTCTCTCCCTATTCATCTACATGTACTGTATGTGTCCTGACTCGTGTTATTTGAGGTTAGAGGGGGTTGCTAGCCATCCTGTAGAGACGAGGGGGTAGGGTAGGGTAGGGACGTGGCGCACTATGGAGCGTCAATAATGAATGTGTGTAAGGGCGACGAAGTGTGTCACCATCTACCCTCTTCTCCTTTGTACTACATCAAAACACACCTTAAGGCCACATACTAACTCCTTTGATCCTCACTCAACCCTAACCCTCTCAAATATCAAAGATCTGTACAATCAAGAAGTGATTTTAAAGGAATTATTTGATGGCTTGTTGTGATTGGCCTGTAAAGAAAGCTTCCTCCATTTTGCAGTGAGTGACTGGTGTTATTTACCTCTCCTCAGTAAATTAAAGATGCCATCATAAATCATTCAGCTGGGTTGAATCAATCCATGCAAAAAATGCCCAGCTGCCAAGAGATGAACTATGCATATTTAAACACAAATCTTACATGTGAAATATGTATTTTGAATAAATCATATGGAGTTAACCTTTTTCCAAATACCTTTTTTCTACTCTCTTTAGTTTTGATTAAAGTCCTGGTTTGAACCTGTGATTCAGGACTATATCTGAAGGATAGGACTTTATCTGAAATAGCATGTAAACTCAGCAAAAAAAGAAATGTCCTCTCACTGTCAACTGTGTTTATTTTCAGCAAACTTAACATGTGTAAATATTTGTATGAACATAACAAGATTCAACAACTGAGACATAAACTGAACAAGTTCCACAGACATGTGACTAACAGAAATTGAATAATGTGTCCCTGAACAAAGGGGGGGGGGGTCAAAATCAAAAGTAACAGTCAGTATCTGGTGTGGCCACCAGCTGCATTAAGTACTGCAGTGCATCTCCTTCTCATGGACTGCACCAGATTTGCCAGTTCTTGCTGTGAGATGTTACCCCACTCTTCCACCAAGGCACCTGCAAGTTCCCTGACATTTCTGGGGGGAATGGCCCTAGCCCTCACCCTCCGATCCAACAGGTCCCAGACGTGCTCAACGGGATTGAGATCCGGGCTCTTCGCTGGCCATGGCAGAACACTGACATTCCTGTCTTGCAGGAAATCACACACAGAACGAGCAGTATGGCTGGTGGCATTGTCATGCTGGAGGGTCATGTCAGGATGAGCCTGCAGGAAGGGTACCACATGAAGGAGGAGGATGTCTTCCCTGTAATGCACAGCGTTGACATTGTCTGCAATGACAACAAGCTCAGTCCGATGATGCTGTGACACACTGCCCCAGACCATGACGGACCCTCCACCTCCAAATCGATCCCGCTCCAGAGTACAGGCCTCGGTGTAACGCTCATTCCTTTGACGATAAATGCGAATCCGACCATCACCCCTGGTGAGACAAAACCGCGACTCGTCAGTGAAGAGCACTTTTTGCCAGTCCTGTCTGGTCCAGCGATGGTGGGTTTGTGCCCATAGGCGACGTTGTTGCCTGTGATGTCTGGTGAGGACCTGCCTTACAACAGGCCTACAAGACCTCAGTCCAGCCTCTCTCAGCCTATTGCGGACAGTCTGAGCACTGATGGAGGGATTGTGTGTTCCTGGTGTAACTCGGGCAGTTGTTGTTGCCATCCTGTACCTGTCCCGCAGGTGTGATGTTCGGATGTACCGATCCTGTGCAGGTGTTGTTACACGTGGTCTGCCACCGCGAGGATGATCAGCTGTCCGTCCTGTCTCCCTGTAGAGCTGTCTTAGGCGTCTCCCAGTACGGACTTTGCAATTTATTGCCCTGGCCACATCTGCAGTCCTCATGCCTCATTGCAGCATGCCTAAGGCACGTTCACACAGATGAGCAGGGAACCTGGGCATCTTTCTTTTGGTGTTTTTCAGAGTCAGTAGAAAGGCCTCTTTAGTGTCCTAAGGTTTCATAACTGTGACTTTAATTGCCTACCGTCTGTAAGCTGTTAGTGTCTTAACGACCGTTCCACAGGTGCATGTTCATTAATGTTTATGGTTCATTGAACAAGCATGGGAAACTGTGTTTAAACCCTTTACAATTAAGATCTGTGAAGTTATTTAGATTTTTACAAATTATCTTTGAAAGACAGGGTCCTTTCTTTTTTTGCTGAGTTTAGAATGTATGTACAGTACTTTACAGAAGAAAACCTCTCAAAGTAGCAAACAAAAGCATATGCTATACAGTAGGTCTGATATGCTAGTACCAATTATGGCTAGATTATACAATTATCAAAAAACATTTCAGTGAGCACTATTAGCACATATCCCAGTGGACTCTTGAAGAGGTTGACCTCCCAGCCTTGCTCTCTACATGATGAGAGACAGACGGCAATTAAAAACCTGCTTTGGATTGTGAAGGAGCCTATAAAAAAGAAATGCAGGTAGCCACAAACACATATGAACAGTGTAGTAGAGTATAGAATGACCTGTACAGTACTTTAGCACAACCAACAATGGTTGTCCTGAATTAACTTGTTTTATACATCATAACTGATTGAACAAAAGGTCAAATGCAGCTTGTTAGTATTTTAAACTCCCTCTTCAAGTTGTGATGTAAATGAGCCTTTAACCCTTCTTAGTAATACAAGGCCTATACAGGAGACTATTGGACTAAACTAGCCTCATCAAAAACATCAACAGAGCTCCAGCCTGCATAACCTCTGGGACCTGAGTTTTTCAGTACTTTGGATCCTATAAACACACAGCCTTAGGCCTCAGACCAATAGCGTTTGCTGGCCGAGAGTACTTAGCACCTCTGAATGTAATTTGCAAACTGAGTGCGCACCGATTTTACATGTAGAATCGCATGACAAATGTCGGCAGTTTGACGTCTACAGCAGGTGGTCCCTGAAACAGCGCATTGAATAATCGTCAGACGAATGGTAGATCCACATTCGGTGCGATGTGTGCAAACCTTTAGTCTGAGCCTGGCTGGGCACAGAGACGGGAGGCAGGCAGGGAGCTACTGTATTGTACTTGCATGTATCATTAATCCACCTTCCCTCCATGTGCTCTCTGCATACCTGGTGACATTGTGGAGGTGTTCTCCCGCCGTGCCATTCCGCGACCACGCACCAACCAACCACTCTCATCTCCACAAGATACCGCATAATGAGGGAGTGCTATTCTTTCTCTCTGACTCCTGGCCTGATGAAAGGTATTCAAAGTTCGCTTTTCTTTCTTTCTTCCCTCTGCTCTGACAACAACAGAGGCTCCGTGCTGCTTCCACACAACCAGAAGCCAAGGTCAGTACAGTGCAGAGAGAGACTGGCTGGCCACCCTTAGATGTACTCTACTATAGCTGGCTCCTTGTATGAGCACCTCTAGCCAACAGAGAGAAAAGGTTCCTGGATTAGCAATGGTTGTTGATGTGGACTGAGCATAGTTGGGGAGTCGACTACGGATATATGGTGGGATTTTAGCCATGAGGTGTGATTTTTGTATGTGGGTGTAATCTTCTTCATGGCAGTTAGTTACCCCTGAGAGATGCCTGGTGGGCTGACTAATGTTAGCTGCAGCACAAACAGACAGCACACTGCAAGCAAAACCAATCAACTGGGAGGACAAGGGCCTGTGCTTGCTCCAGCCAGAGACAACAACACTCACACTTCTCCCTGTCAAATTACCACCTCTAGTCTGCAGTGTCTTTGTATCTGAGAGCAACATTCTGTGTAGGCTACAAGAGAGAGGACAGCCAAAGCCACAGGAAACCCTGTACGTGTCACATTAAACCAGCTAACTAACACCACAGCTGGAAACACTTCCACTGGCACTAAATGTATATTTGACGATGTAGAATATCCACAGATTGTAAAATGATAATTTAATGTAGCACTATTTTCACAAACCAACTGTCCTGTGAGTTTATATGGGCTCTGGGCTAAATAATGTGGCATGAGCAGTCTGCCATCATAACCTCATTATTGCAGCAGCTTAACAACAGCAATTTACACATTTTCATCAGATGACACTAATTTGTGAATTTCATTCCATCTCCATGCAGTCCCCAACAAGAGAGAAACAACAGTATTCTCCACGGAGCTACTGGCAACACCAAACCCACATATATTAAGCCGCAGAAATTGCTTATGGTAATTTAAGTTATTTTAAAGCTAGGTTTAAGCTTTAAAGAAATTAAAAGTGAATAATTATTGTGTTTGTTTTGATTTCTATTTTGTAAAACTAAAGTGAGGCTGGAATTAAATTGAACCTGCCATAGAAATGTTCATGCTGTAGTGTCGTCTTAATATGTTGTCCCCTGTAGCTCAGTTGGTAGAGCATGGCGCTTGCAACGCCAGGGTTGTGGGTTTGTTTCCCACGGGGGGACAGTATGAAAATGAATGCACTCACTAACTGTAAGTCGCTCTGGATAAGAGCGTCTGCTAAATGACTAAAATGTTGAACATCCTTTTACTGTCTGTCTATAATGCTGAACTGTTATGGACTACTGAGTTCCTCCAAGCTCTCTCTCTCTCTCTCTCTCTCTCTCGTCCTCTCTCTCTCCTCTCTCCTCATCTCCACTCATCTTCTCCTCCCTCTCTCTCTCTCTCTCTCCTCTCTCTCCCTCCTCTCTCTCTCCTCCCTCTCTCCTCTCCTCATCTCTCTCTCTCTCTCTCTCTCCGTTCTCTCTCACTCTATCCTCCGTCATCTCTGTCGTCTCTCAATCTCTCCTCTCTCTTCTCTATTTGATATCTATTTTAAGGTCTTTTGCATCATTAACGTTGTGTTAACATTTGCCAAATCGAATGACTCGATTTCAACTTTATATCAATAATTCTATATCTTAGTGGAACTGTGAAATAAAAAAAAGTATGAAGCATAAAATTTTAATAAACAAAATATGTGAGTTACAATGGTTTTACTTCATGCCATTTCTTCAACGTACATCTGACATGTTGCTGCT